AAAAGATGCATAAGCTATGAATAATCAAATGAGAGAAATGCCTTTGGGGATTATAAAGAAGGGGTGCAAAGAAAATATAATATGTTTAGAGTGAACAGAATTCAGGAAATTAAATTAACTTCAGGAACATACTGCAGCAATAACTTTGAATTCAGAACTAAAACAATGAGATGGAAAGCTGAAGAAGCAATATTGAAACCATATATTGTAAAAATATTTGACTTTGACAACAACATAAAAATTACCAAGTAATATTAGCAGATATGAAAGTAACAGTGAGGTAGGAAATAATGATATTCAGCAATCCGTGTTAATATTTCCATTGAATCCTGGATCACAAGGGAATAACCACCAACTCTCGAACATATAAAGAAATTAGTCATCTAGTGAAAGCATTGAGTACAATAATTTCACATCTTACTTTAATTCAAATGGAAAATGCATTTCATGATATATTGGCACGGGCTTTCAGAAAAAAAAGTCTTTTTGATCGGTCAGACTTAAACATCAAGGCTAACGACTGAAAAGTGCAGAGCATGTGGCAAAAATATCTACCCCTTCTTTATCAATGTAAGATCAACATTTGGAGAAATAGACCATCAAGAATGATACGATATTATGGATTTTAAAAAAAAGCTACATTTGAAAAAGTATCTCAAAAAGTGTCAACGAAGAGTCAGTTCATGATTGTTTTTAGTGCCTAATATATTCTTCTCCAGATCTGTTTAGCATCATCATGGAAGTCATTATAATAAGAATGATGTCCCTAAGCAATTTAAGATCCATTACTCTCATACTTACAACTGCAAAGGAACTACACATGATTTCAGGTGAGATTAATGAACTCAGTTCTAAATTAGGATGACGATCAATATAGAGAAGGCAGGAGTTCAATGGTTTGGCACTGAATGTATCCGAATTGATCAGAACCCATCTGCAAAAGAAGCCTGAAGCAAGTTGAGAAATCTATCAAACGGAAAGTCACAGAAGAGTAAGCTGGGGATGATGCTAAGAAGATCAACACCCGCCAATAACTTTAAAACCATCCAATTAGCCAAAACAGAAATGACTTGAAGCCACTTAAACTATGCTGTGCACAAATTATATTAACAAATAAATTGTAAGGTAGCACTCAGGTCAACAAATTCAGAAAACATCATAAACATAAGCATCTATCACACCAGACTGTAAATTAATTTCAAACTATTTTTCTTGTGGCTGTTCACTTCATTGATGTGGCTGCTTTCTTTTTCATCTGAAAAAATTACCATTTTGTGTGTGATATTTGAATGAAGTGAAACTGTAGGTTCCACTGCAATGTCGTGTTAAATCATCATTATCCACAGTTATAGTGGGTAAGAAACAGTAAGACTGGTTGATTTTGAGGGCTCATCACTTTTGCTAACAGGAGTCTTTTAGATAGAGAAGTTTGATTCTAATTTGAAAATATTTGTTGTGTTAGATATTAGAGTAGCACTGATATTGCCATAGTACACTTAATGTTCTAGACACTACACTTATGCTTGGTTAAAGGAATACATATCAGTGTAGCTGAGTTGATGGCTCATTTGGCTCTGGGTTAGATAATGGGTTCAAGCCCAATGTTAGATTAGACTGACACTACATGAGATGAGATGTTATCCCGAGTTTGCCTGTTCACATGGACACTAAAGATCTCATGATATGTTCCAAAGCTTTCTTCTCTTCTCCAAGCCAACAATTTTACAGATTAACTATATCACTCATTTCACAGTTATTTGTGGGGCAATGATGGCGATAGCTGTTATGTTTGCTTTGAGTCACTATAACATACAGTAATTAGCTGTGAAGAACTTTGAGATGTTTTAATGTGATAAAAATGCACATTCTTTCAAAAAATAAGAGAAATTAGTGGAAAATGGATAATAATTTCTCAGGACTCGAGCTGTATGTAGACGAGAATGAAACATACCCAGAGAAAGATTAAGTTATGGCCTGATAACACAATTGCAGCTATGGAACTTGCCAGTGACTGATGGTGAAATGTTAGGGGCAGATAAAGGAAAAGTATGTGGGATTGCCTGCACTACTACTGGAATAAGGAAGGAGAAGGTTTAACTTTTGACAGATGACACCACAATTTGGACAACTTTAACAGTGTGGATTCGGGTATATTGAATTTCTCATTGTTAGATCACTGTACTTGGAGATCAATGTACTCAGATTTCCAAATCCAGTGAAAGTGGCACACAGTTGTTAAACTTCTACAATCTCATTTTCAGTGATCCCTCAACTTGTGAACTTCTTGTGAGAATAGAATAACGCTGGTTTGTGATGCCTGCCTTCCGCATGTTCAAATAGTCTACTGATATGCTTTGTAAGTTTACGTGTGAGTTTAGTGAAATGTTATTGGTTTCTCTCAAGGGGGAGGGGAGGAAGATATTGTTTTTAATGAAATCTTTTTACTAAAATGTTTAATGCCATTAGTGGAAAAGAGTTTTTTAAAAAAACAATCAGCATTTGGAGTCCTCTATCTTAGAGGGTAGCGCACTCGCCTCGCAGCTGAGAGGATCTGGGTTTGATTCCCAGCAGGGCGAAACATTGGACAAGTTTCCTCACTCCACACGCCTGTTTACCGAGCAGTAAGTAAGAACCCAGTTCTTAGTCGATTGGTGGATCGCTTTTCCGGGGGTAATAATTCCATAAAAATAGAAAATAATTTGGCCACTCAATCCACAACTGTGGGACACTGCTGTGTGCAATTGGCTGCCACGTTTTGCCCACAAAATATATAGTCAATGCACTTTACAGTATATTCTGTGTAGCACTTTGAGATGTCTTAGAATTACGTGATAAGTCGCTATATCAAATGCAAGGATTATTATTATTTCTAGAAATAGAAATGGACAATGACTCATTTTCTGCCCAGAACACAATCACATTTAACAGAAAATTGCTTTAGATTCTGGGAGTAACTGAACAATGAGAAAAGATCTGAAATACAAATTAGTTACATTGTGCGTGGGAGCTTTAGAAAGGCAGTCATGAATATTGCTACTTTCAGAAGTTTGGAAAAGAGATTGCTAAAACCATTTTACTTACTCCAAATATGGCAATACCCTCACACTTATCAATATGATGCTATTGAACCTGTCAAATATATTGACAAGCTTTTATAAAAAAATAATCAGTTTGGGCTTTGTAATTGGAAAAAGGTTAACACTGCAAAGATGGAAGGTCAGAATAATACTTACTAACATAATGGTAGACTCAGACAATTGAGAAGTTTAAAGAATATAGTCTAAGAACCCATGTGATATGTTAGCTGTTGTGTCACCCCAAGGAATCATTGTGTCCGATTCCTCAACTATTGCCAGCCTGTTGTCACAATGCAGTATATATTTGTGTGTGACAATTACATAATTAATAAATAACTAGGAATGCATTTGGTGCTTTAAATTACTGATGTTCTATGAACTACTGTTGACCTTTTTAATACAAAGATCAATAACTTCTCAATTTTCCAAATAAATACATCAGGATTTGATTTAACATAACATATGATGGTAGGAGGGGAGCTTGATCTAAGCAATCAAACGAAAATGGGGACTGACCATTGCTTTCATTCTTTGCAGGAATGTTACAAATTAATTACAAATTAGTTTCTATTTTACCTGCATAATAAATCTGAATAATAAAAAATAAATCAGCACATTGCACGAACCCCCCCATAGTATGCAAATGTATGTATGTAGTTTGGTATGTAAATATGCCAAACATGAACTAGTTCGGAGGAGGGAATATGTAAATTTCATTGGCGAGTCTTTTATTGAAGCTGCTTTTCACATGGAGTTTTAGATCATTTTAAATAGAATTTGATTGAATTAATCTGTTTCACTGCATCAACAATGTGTCTTATTCTGACAAGGGCAACAAGAAAATGGAAACAGCGAGAGGTTTTGCAGTACATTTTGGGTGGTACATTCAACTTCTTGAAAAAAATTCACTTTTTTGGTAATGGTAAGACTGCTTATACAGATGAATACACACCATATATTGCGAACTACCACATTTACACAGTAAAACATTGGGTACTTAATGTCACATTGTGCCCTAATCCATCTCAGCCCTATCATAACTCACATGTATGTTGCTTGCATTCTCTTGTAAAACACTGTCGTAATGTGTCATGAAACATACAGCACAGTAACACTAGTGTTGATTGATTTAATAAAAACTAGTGCCTTTTAATGTGATGATATTTTGAAGACTTTTAGAGTGTTCTTTAGGTTGCGTGTCAACATATCCAATCTCGTCACATAGCCAGCTGTGTCTTAATCCTGACAGGATTAGATATTCAGTATTCTACTTACATGCAGAGCTAATCTTAAAAACCTGCATTGTGGAGCATATAAATTATGTTTGCAGCAAGCTTCAAGGAGCTTCTCAATTAAATAGGCAAATGTTACTACTTTCTTCACTCCTCATAATTCTGCCTCTGCAGAAAATAATTATTAAAAATAGTACGCCCCTTCTCTCCACTTGAAATAATATTTAGGCATTTAAAATGGTTTATCGGTGAGTAGCTTATGGAAATCATAATTATGCTTTTCCATTTTCAACTTAATAGCAGATGTTAGTTTCCCCTAAAACCCATACTTGCCTCCATCCCCCATTAGCATCCACTCAATGTCAAACCCACTCGACAATTGACTGACAGAAAGTGCATGCAGTGGGTTGAGCAGAATAGTTATCCTGACCATTAAATAACAGAACTCAATCACAGCAACTGTAGATGTGTTTGAGGCCAATACTCCTATAGCTAACTGATTGGCAGGAAAGATTTCTGCTATTTGATCTGCTTGCTGTCTGATCTCTGCCGAGTCTAATTTAAAATTAATCTATTGTTTTAGGTGGTCAATGATTTGCAATATGTGAATACCCTGACAGCAATAATGAAGCAATGATGGTGAATCACAAACAATAATAAGGAATGCTGGACAAAGACACATTACCTGCACCTGAGGTGGGTGATTTGCAGCGTTCGAGCTCCAGTGATACAGGGCTGTCCGAAAGTTCATTCAAGCCTGGAAACATTAAAAAAACTCTAGATTATCAAGCTAGTGGATATGAATAAAGAAACCTCTTTTGAACATGCTTACCAAAATATACTCATAGGATATCCATTTATGTTTGTTATAGGATTCTAGAATAATTCCTACAGGAATTTCATGTTTGAAATCCATTATGTTAAGCCGATATACAAGGACCTGAAATCTAACCTTTACTTATATTGTCTCTTCACTAACTCAGACACGAAACACTGATTTACCTAAACCAACTTGCTGACTCTAGAGTTATTCAGGTACGGTGAAGTACTGTATAATTGAAATGGATTTAATGATAATAATCCTTGCATTTGATATATCATGTCTTTGAGATGTCTTAAAGCACTTTACAGAATACACTGAAAAATAAATTGACTGTATATTTTGTGGGTGAAACTTAATGTAATATGAAACCCAAATTGCTGTCATAGACCTAACAAGCATCACTATTGGCTTGTCGATCTCCTAAGCAGACTCCCAGAGCAATCTGAGTTACCATTTAAAATTTCTCTTTCTCCGAGATGTTTGTTAGGAAGTGATGGTCCACAGCAACAGGGAATCACCCTGATATTTTCTGGACCACAAAGTGACAGGAATGAATCCTTCATTTCCTGACCTCTAGAGTTCTTGAGAACAACAGCTTGTATATGGGACTAGCTGATATTAAAAGAAACATTTGCTGTGAATTTGGACAATTCATGATTCCGAATGTAAAGGCCAACCCATTCGGATTGCAGGACCCATTCATCCACTGAGGTAATCTTGTACTGAATCAAGACACGCTTAAGATGGCGAGGCAAATGGATCCCCAGGCGTATTTGTCAAGACATGGAGGATGCTGTGATGAAGAAAAATATACTCTTTTTCAGTGCTTTTGGTCATCCTTCCTCTCCCTTAAATAAATCAATGATCTCAAATAAGACTTTTCTACTACTGCGAGTTAAGTGAATGTTTCCATACAAGTGAGTAAACACTCAAATATTTTATTTTTAATACACACTCATTGCAAATCTTTAACCAAATATTATTTCTATCAAGGAGAATATTTAAGAATCTTTGCGTTTGATATATTGCTTTATTATGCCATTGAAATGTCTCAAAGTGCTTCACAGGGTTTACTGCAAAGGCAGCGACTGTATCTGTCGAAACATTGTGAAACATTGCTTTGTGCAAATTTGCACAAAGCAATGTTTCACAGGTGTTCTTCAATGAATCAAGAAAAGTTGAAGGTGGCCGGTAGATGGATCCCCTGGAATTGAGTTCAACCCAGGAAAGGAATTTTCTGACTGGAAAATACATAGCCTCTAAAGACAGCTATCCTGGATTTTACATCAGGTCAGTCTCCTTTCAGGGAATGCTCTCTGCCTCAATATAATGAAAGATGGAATTATACATTTAATCTTTTATAACACTCACATGATGCCAAATCATAGACGGATTGTATATTTTACTCTCTCACAACCAATATAAATTTGTCTTTTCTACAAAATGTTGAGCAGATTCAGGTGGTTCAAGTTACTTTTTGACTTTAGTTGGGAGTATAATCTCCCACCTTCTAATTTCAGCTCAAGGTTAGATGTGAATCAATGATTTTAAATCAGGTCAGAATAAATAGTCTAATTGAAATTCCTCTGCAGCGTTTGTGCTGGGCTGGTAATTTGCTACAGCGAGGCACACATTCTTATCAGGGGCAGAAGAGAATGTAAAGATTCAAAGACCGCAGTTCACCTGCACTGATTTAATTGGAATCAACTTTACAAAAGAACTTCAGGCATTTATCTGGGTGCATAAAAATAATAAAATATAAGTATTTCTACTTAAATTTCATTAGAAATATTAATCAGTAAATTACTGTTAAATAATTAATGCAACAACAATGCATAGCTTTCAGGTAAATAAAACATGATGGGAAATTGGGTAGTGCCTTAATAAGGCACTCTGCATAAAGCATCTTCGGTTTGTAGCAAGCATGCAAAAGAATGATGGAATTCACAGTACAAATGCATCACTGCATCAATTACTTACGTCTTAGTTCTCCTTAACTGTTTTTCCTCCCAAATCAAAAAACAGATTTGCCAGTTTTTCATTAAGGCAGTTTCTTTTTAAATGGTAATGAGCAATAATATGTGAAATTCCCACCCCCTCTGAACCCCATTTAAGCCTCCCCACATCAGAACACACTACTCCAGAGTAGGTGTCCAAGCTGCCTGCTCCTAATCCCAGACCTCTGAACTGATGTTATGCAACTGATGGTAGATCAGAGCACAGTACACAAACTATTTATTTCTCAACCTCAGAAGAATATCAGGAACTAGCACATAATGGTCTATGGGTTTAAACTTGCATTCTAGGAACTGTAAAGGGCAGGGTGTTGGACAATTGTGCGGAAAGCAGTCCTCGGAAAATTGTGTACCGACAATTAATAATTATGTTCCTTTATGAAGCAGCACAAGACGACAAAAGGAGGCAGAAAGATTTTAAATAATAATAATTATCATCCTTGCATTTTATATAGTGCCTTATCTCGTCAAGCAATACGGGTTAGGTAATGCATTGGAGAAACACCGGAAGGTTGGTACACCAGTTTTATTCGTACTCTGTTGTGTTACTGATTAAAAGATGACTTGGGAAGCACAGGCACATCCTGAAGAGTAGTTGCCAGGCCACTGATAGAAGCCTATTGAAGAATGGCATAAACACAGCTTAGGTAAGTTGTTCCTTTGGTTACATTAGGTGCATAGCCTGACATGACCAGAGCAAAAACCTGAGCAAAAGAATTAGATTACCAAATTTGCAGGAGGGAGGATGGAAAGAATCCAAACATATTCAAAATACGAGTTGTGGGGAAGGTTGGTGAGGGGGGGGGGGAAGGGGAATGATATTCTGCTGGCTTTGCCAATATGCGCGTCTTAACGAGATTTGTAGGAAACTGAATATCACCCCAAGATGTTTGAACAGGCAATGTGAGAGCTGCTAGAAATGGATTATAGCAATCACTGTAACGGGAAGACTTCTCAATTATATATAGTTGGTAAACTTGGAAAGCTTTGAGACCTGTAATTTAAAAGATATTTTCACATTATACAAATATGAGTTATGGCTCTGAGATGAATGGTGATTTATCTTGATGAAAAAGAAAAGCAAGCAAAATATTTGGACACGGGGAAAAGTAGCCTTTGTGACTGTCTCTACAGCGCAAGATGCTGATTAATAAGGGAAATAGGATGTCAGGATGCATAGCCAGAAGGACGCAGTATAACTCTCAGCAATGCCTTAATGGAATCACACTTGCAATATTGTATTCAATTTTGGGTCACCATGGGAACAAAAGCACATTGATGCATTGAAGAAGCCACAATGAAAAGCAATAAAGACGATTTCAAATTTTGGTCAAAATCTGTAAAGACAGACAATGGCTAAAATTATTTCCTTCAGCAAAGTAAATACCAATAGGAGATACAATTGAAGGTTTAAATAATGAGGAAAACTGGACAAAGATATAAGTTTTTAGAAGAACTGGGTCCTTGCTTAAGGTTGCTGACCTGAGAACTAAGATGTTCCCAGGACATTGTTTTTTTCTCTCTATTTCTGCTGTGGGAGAATGTGGTGGACAGAACCTTCAATCTAAATTATGATGGTGATTGTTGGATGAATTTCTTCAGCATTATGTACCCTGGTGGGCTTGAATCGGTAGATTATCAGATCTAGAAAAAGAGCCATCTCCCTTGGCCAGGCAATTTAAATTCACGTACTGGATTATTCAAATAAATTAACATTATAGTAATAAACCTTCTCAAACTTCAGGAATAACTAATATTGGAATACTAACTTAAATAACAATAATAAATAATGGAAACATTTATAAATTTAAAAAACTTTACCTGTGAACTCTTCTGTGTCTTTTTCCTTCCTATTATTATTTATTATTCTCACTTCTCTTTCACCCATCCCAGGTTTATTTTGTTTCCTTTTTTTCCCTACATAATCTACCCTGTGGAGTCCTGAAGCTCAGTGGTTAGAGCACTCGCCTCGCAAGCGAGAGACTTGGGTTCGATTCCCGGGCAGGCGAAACATTGGGCAAGTTTCCTTACTTGACACGTCTCTGTTTACCTAGCAGTAAGTAGGAACACGGTTTTTAGTTGATTGGCGGATTGCTTTTCCGGGGATAATAATTCCTTGCAAAAAAATAAGAATCTGGTCACTCAATCCACAATTGTTTGTGGGACACTGTTGTGTGCAATTGGTTGCTGCGTTTTGCCCACAAAAAATAGTCAAATCACTTTACAGTATATTCTGTGAAGCGCTTTGAGACAGCTCTAAGACGTAATAAGGCACTATATCAAATGCAAAGATTATCATAATTATATGATAATAATTATAGATATTACCTTATCTTCTCTAATGTTTCGCTTACAAAAATATGTTTTAAGCTTTCGCACTTCCTATTTTTTTCTTTTTATCCAGCTCTTCATGTTCATTTAGGAGGCAAGAAGGGATTTGAGGTCGTTAAAATAAGGCTGTTGATTGGCTAAAAATAGCTTTAGAAGAGTTTGGCTTCCTACATATCAAAAACCCCGTCTGTAATAATGGGCATGATTCTAAAAAGATAATTAGAGCATTGTTGTTATTCACACACCATACCTGATCTGTTCCAACAATGAAATGAGGCCATGAATAATTTCCTAATAACTAAGTTCAAGCAGTGATTGTAGCTCAAATGGCCAAACATTCTTCACATATTCTTCCCCCTCACCGCAATTTAGCTTTAGAGAAATATAACTCCCCCTGCCAAAGAACTAAATCAACAGAACCTAGGACTACATGCCACACTCCCATCCATTACTTTTAAGATATGCACCTTAATGCAGCTGGATAGCATACTATTTGTTAATTATTACCTCTGTTGCATTGTCTCTACATGCAATCTTTTCAGTTTACGGAGTTGGTGCTTGAGTAACACTGATATATAATGCAGCCTGTCTTTGAAGTGGCCAGGGAGACTGTTTTAGTGCAGACAAATATACTATTTTTGGATTCTTAGTAGCAATAAGACCACAAGGCCAGTATTTATGAAATTGATGAAGGGAAGAGATTTGATTCGCTGAGTTTTGGCACAATCTAAGCATCTGGGATGTTGACAGTAATGCAGTATGTTTAAACTAATTTTGGGATTAGCTAAAACCTCAACAGAAACAGAAGAAAAATAGATTTCACTCCTGTCACAGCACGAGCCCATGACATTTAATTTGTAATTCCTATTTTATTGATCATAAATATAAAGTTAATGGACATTCAGACACATACCTTTTGCTCTAGTTCTGATCTTTTATTTTCCTCCAGCAATGCTGCATGCAGCAGATACAAATCTGCCTTTACGCAGCCAGAGCATTTGGATATTTAAAACATGGCAAACAACACTGGGACAAAGTGTAAATTTTGTGCCCAAATGCAGTATGCCAGGTATATAAAAAAAACTAACTAAAAGACTATTACTGAACTGTTTTTAGCAAGGGCTGACAGTTTATAACTGTTCACCAGTTTTGTTGAGGAAGAATGAGCTGCATTCTGAAGCAAGATGAGGGACAGGTCTCAATTGGAACCACTCGGTTAAGCTTGAAACAACATTTCCTTTATAGAGTCCCAGTATAAATTGTTTTGTGCTGGCTTGGATTGATCCCAGCTTCCTTATTCCCATTTGATTGTATTGTTTCACAGAGATACATGCAAATGTAACTTTTTTTCATTTCTGTTAAAGCACCACTGATCAACCTAATTGGGTACCTTATGTCGCAGTCAAGTACTTGGAAATGAATTAGAATGGGTTTCTCGTCCCAGTTAAACATGTAACCATTCAATTCAAAGGGCATTCACAGCATCTTGGATTCAAAGGACCATAATATATCTTCCCTTGGTGGTCTCCAATCTAAGGCTCTTCTGATCTTTTCACAATAACAGAGCATTTATCTGAAGTTCACAATATTCCTTTCACAGAAAGTCATGTTGAATGTGCATAAGTAGACTATGCATATAAATAATTCAATCACATTCAACAGATTTGAGGGTTTCCATACATGTTTAGTTGGGTTAAGGCAGAGTTTATCAAGCCACATAGGGTTTTCTCGCCCCAACTTTGTTTATTACCCCCCGATTATATCATTAAAGAACATACACTGGTTTAGATATTGAACTTGATTCAGCTCAAACAGATCCAAGTTTGTTTTTGTGAAAAGGTCAATTTGTACCATAATAATGGTAATCTTTGCACCTGATACGTCTAAATATTTTATAGAGCTTCACAGTAATTGCTATTAAGTGTTGTGACTTCTGTAGGTCTACACAGCTGCCAATTTACACATATGTTCCACAAACAGTCAGTGGATGATTGATCAATTTAACTGGCTTATTGGTTTTACAGGATACCAGGAGAAACTGCCTTCTCATTTTGAATAGTGCAATGGGTTCTTTAACATCCAGACAAACGAGACATTTCATCTGAGGAACGGCACTTCTAACTGCAGTGACTCAAAATCAATACAACTGCAACCTTGGCATGTTGTTGAATCACTGCCTTTTGCTCAATTTAGCTAATTTACAATAGACAATTCCACCATTTTCAAAAAAAATGGTCCATGTAGAAAACAAAAGAATTGTGTTTTGATACAACTAATCAATATGATTAAATTTCAACTCTTCTTCATTTCTATTGTGATTATAAGAGCTCATCTAATCCAATTCAGAGAATGAATGGTTGGAGACCATCAATAAACTGAATACATTCTTCAGTTGCTCCATACAGTGGGTTCCATTTAATGCCATTTCTTATTGCTACTTCTCACTGGTGATACTACCACTTAATGTTTCCCTAAATTCCCAATGTCGTCACACGATTGTCAATTCCTGACATAATGTCCTTTGCTACAGAAAATGTTTATTGTAATTGCCTGCTGCAAATGTCTGCAGGTTCTTCAAAATAGACACTTTTACAATTCCGACAAAAAGGCACCACGAGTGAGGGCATAAAGTGACAGCTTTTGTTTTTGGTAAATTTTGCTTCAACAAAACAACTTAATTGGAATGAAACCCTGTTATTTCCACATCATGCTTCCTGACAAGTTATGGACTGGCAAACTGAAAAAGACAGTAAAAGGAAACCACAGTATTGGAGTTTGCTCAGCCTAATCAAAATGTGAGCACATTATAGACCATATTTTGTTGTTTGAGGACAACACAGCCACCATGCTGAGCTGCATTGGTTAGTTATATTCCCATAAAATGTAAGATAATGATACAGTGATAAATATTTAGAAGCAAAACTGCATGGAGATGATGCCTTTTAAATCACCATTCCTGCCCATCCACCCACCACCCAAATATTTATATGAAAATTAATGATTACTTTAAAAGAAATCATGCATTAAGAATCAAACTCATCTCTATGAGTATACACTTCAGTCTGGTGGCATAGAAGTCAACAATTCAGAAACACTTTGTAAAATATGGTCTATAGACGTGTGTAAACTTACTCTGATAAGATGTACGGAGTCGTTTCAGTGAATACAAACTAGATAGGCCACGCATGCAAACGTTTTCTGTCAGCATGCCAAAACCATCACCAGCAGCAGGCAGGCAGGCAGAAGAGAGAAAAACAGAACACAGGCTAGAGTGAAAGAAAGTGACAGCATGTGGCCATCAAACAGCAAGTTTTCATTCAGCAGCACGTAGGAGAAACTTGTAAGTGGAAAGGTAAGTCATTCCTTGTATGCAAGCTGAGGATAAAGCCATTCAAATGCAGTTAAGACATAGGGAAGTGAGGGTAATAATAATAATCCTTGCATTTGATATAGCACTTTTCACATCTTCTAGATGTCTCAGAGCGCTTCACAGAATAGACTGTAAAGTGAATTGACTGTATATTTGTGGGCAAAACGCGGCAGCCAATTGCACAGCAGTGTCCCACAAACAGTCGTGGATTGAAAATGACCAATTTATTATTGTTTTGTTTTGGAGGGATTATTATTAGGCGTGTGGAGTAAGGAAACTTGCCCAAGGTTTCGCCCTGCCTGGAATTCAACCCAGGTGTCTCGCTTGTAAACAGACCTAATGCCACGACTAAACATGGCAATGGATAATCAGGCTGGATTCTTAAAAATGCACTCTAATGTACCTCTACACAGACAACAATTAGGTTCTGTTTATCTCAATTTGTTAACGGTATACAAATGCTCTCATAAATAAACAGTAAATAAACAGAAATGCCGTGGTGGAAAAATTCTTTATAATGGACAAGTGGATACTGAGCCAAAGTATCTGGTCAAATGATATCACAGCAGCTATTATATATGCATTATGTTGATCTATTCCATCGTGATCCTTCAATTTCAACTCTTGGTTTTTGGCCATCTGAACATTTGTTTCATTTGAAACAATATACCAGTCAGAAAACAAATCATGTTTCAATTTGGTGTTAACTATTGCTTAATGAAGGTGTTGTTAAGTTTTGATATTTTTCTAATGGCTGTTCAGATTGTAGGCTGATTGATCAACAACATCTTCTTACCTTGAGAACTATTGTTGTTCTAACCTCCAGGAGTACCCCATATATACCGTGGGACTCCCAAGCCTTGGCTCCTGCCAACCTGCAATTAAACTCTCCTGGTTTAGGTGAGCTAGGTATTATATATATATTATATATACATATGCACCTTTCAGTAATTTGGTTTGGATATTGAAACATGGGGATGGGTTACTGAATATGTCAGGCACCCAGCTGACAAAAACAAAATGACCCAGAGAGCTACAGTAACATTTTTGTATTAGCGTTTAGAATTCAAACAGAATTTAAAAAAGGATCATCCTGTAAATGACAAATTTCCACTAGATCCAATATGCCTATGCCAACCTCATAATGTTCAGCATTAACACAACCTGTCATCTACTCCAGAGCAGGTCAGCCAAGATCCTTTTACTCTTATCGGCTGATACTCTAACTTGTCCTCCCTGCTACTGCTTAGCTCCATATTTCAACAGCAATTGCCTGGACCCTGATGGATCACCATACTGTGCCAGGACCTTGGGAAGGCAAATTGTTTGCCTTGATGAAACTGTACTGTCAGTTAACCATGAATATCCAGATTTAAAGATGTTATCTGGTAGTTAATGACTCCTATAGGAATATAAAAGGGAAAAAAAAGAATTAAAATGACAGAAAATTACTGTTATGGATCATAATAAAAATATGAGTTTTTATGTTATTGCACAGAAAGGAAAAGAATGCTGCATCAGTAATTAGAGTTCAAACCAATTTGGCAATAGGGTCCAATTTAGCACAATTTAATATCAATATTTTGTGAATATTCTTCATTTTGGTGAGTTTACATAAAGTTTTCGCCATTTGTACTTTTAAGATTGTTGAAAAAATACATAGCAAAATGGTTCTACACCAAATAAATTATTTCAGTGTCCTTGTTCTCAGAAATTCTCTGTATTCTCCCCTCCTAGAAGTAATAAATATCCTTGCATCTGATATAGCGCCTTATCATGTCTTTGAGACGTCTCAAAGTCTTTCACAGAATATACTGTAAAGTGAATTGACTGTATATTTTGTGCGCAAAATGCTGCAGCCAATTGCACACAGCAGTATCCCACAAACAGACTTGGATTGAGTGACCAAATTACTTTTTTTTTAAGGCATTATTACCCCCGGACAAGGGTTCCACCACTCAACAAACATCCGGGTTCCTTGTTACTGCTCCGTAAACAGAGGCATGTGGAGCAACGAAACATTTCACCCTGGTAAAGTGGTAATGTTAAAAGAGCCTCATTCACCTAAAAGGATCGCCTGGTTCATAAAATAGATCTCTTTACAATTTGCCCTTCACCTCCATGCTGCTCCAGGCCCAACCAAAAGGACATCTGTTTGTTGCAGATAGAGAAAAGGAACTGACTCACAATCAGTCATTCTCCTGTCTAAGTGAAAGATTTCTCTGGCACAGCCAATAGGCCAATTGCCAACTTTACTAAATTTGTGTGTGAAATATAAATGACTTCATAACAATATAGTGTCATAGCCCCATTGTATTTTAGTGGACTCTCTGATAAACTTCCAACTCGGGTTAATAAATATTCTAAGTGATTAATTTCAGGACCAGCCATGAATGAAATCCAGGTCTGAATATATCAAAATGTTCTCTCGTCAGCAGCCTGCCTGAGAATTGCCACAAATATTTGAACTGTGGCCATGAAATCTGTCTTCAAGCATCACCCTTTGACTCTATTATATTGCAAAACAAAGGCAATACTGGTTCAATATAAGCTCACTTTAAAAGTTATTAAGGCAATGCTTCAATCTTAGATATTAGCTATTAAGTTTCAATAATTACATTGAAAAATCCAAATCTTCTGCAAGTATCTGCTGTAATCTACTGTTGATGTGCAATATCTGGGAGGAGTTATGGAGGAAAGGATATTTTTCAAATATATTGCTGAAAGTAAATCATTCTTATGTTAAGAAAATCGGTATTTGGGGGAAAACTCAGATAAACAAGGTGATTTAGTTGAAAGAAAAAGCCAGATTTGAGTAAACCAGATTTGTAAAAAGCATTTAAAAGAACTGAGAAAATAAAACAACAAAAACAACAACAAAACTACATTTGTGTAGTGCCTTTCATGCCGGGAGGATGTCCCGCTGGATGCTGGCACTAGACAATCAGTGGTTCGGACCCGAGCTGGGTGTTGGGATCGGGGAGGGTGGAGGGCAGGGGGAAAAGGAGGGTGATCAAAGGCACGGTTGAAGAGGAGGGTCTTGAGTTGGGTCTAGAAGGAGGTAAGGGAGGGACTGAAGGATGGAATTCCAGAAGGTCGGGGCAGAGTGGCTGAAGGCCTTGAAGCTGTCAAAATAGACTTAATTACTGCAAGAAATGCTGATCCAGAACACAATGTAGTGCGCTAGTAAATAAGTATTAAAATAAAAAGTATATAGTTGAAAATAAGTTATTCACAGAATTTTAAAAAATGCAGTTTTGTATTAAAAGCTAAACAAAAAAGGGCTAAATATCGTACAACTCAGGAATGTGTTCATTTTATAAATAACATTAAATCTGGAGTTTAAATCGTAATTGATGCATCTTTTTAAACTGGAATGATAGAAAAGCAGTAACTTTGGCATTACTAAAATCTGTACATGGGACTAACTGATTATTTTGAACCATCCACATTCCTTTCCACAAATTAAAGTGACTGGATGAGTACATCAGAAGAAGTAACAACATTAAGTATACTATATGTGAACAAATACAATTTCATGTAATATGCACTTCATTACAGCAAGTGGTGGCCACTTGTTTTGTCTTACCTGCTGTGAGCTGCTTACTCTTTCGTGGAGATCTGGTCTGCCGCTGATAGGGGTCACTTGTACCATAAAGGTCAATAGTTCCCATGCTGAGTAGAATGGTCTTCTGCATAAAATCCACAACAGCCAAACCATTACAGTTTCCAAATGCCACACTGTAGAGAAGGTAGAAACACATTCAGATAGTGTTTTATTCTTTAATATGCATACAAATTAAACTAGAATGTTGTAAAACTAAGCAGGAGAGCTTGTGGTCATGTGAACACTATCTTTTTGGAGGCCGGTGAAGACCTGAAGTCTATTTATTTGCAATATTGAATGGCCGTCAGGATCTTTTACTTATTTGGTGGCAACAGAATAACTGGACAATTATGTTACTCACAGGCCATAGGCTGAGCTTACAGCTAGGCTGGTGATCTGTTGAGGGGGTTCTCCATCTACCCATACCAGTTGAATAACGACATCAGCCTGGTAACCGGGAGGCATTTTTATAGAACGACACTTCACCCTTAGAGCAAAAAAAATTTTACAGGATAAGATTTCCGATGAAATAAATGCAAGAAATTCTGAAATACATTTACATTGTTTTTATTTAAAATACCCCAAACCGAATACATTAGTGGAAAGGAACTAGTTCTTTGATAGCTCTGTAGGTGTAATTCCTTTTACACCTTTTCCCATTCTTCTAAGGCTTCAATTATCCCCATTTATTGGTTTACTTGGGAGACTGGGACAGAACTGCCGACAGACAACTCCTAAAAACAAACAGAAGAAAGCTAGAACTGAGCATAATGTTGCCAGAGAGAATCCAACACTAAAACAAAGAGGCTAAAGGGATTTTTTAAAAAGAAAAGGCGTGGTAAGGCATAGGGCACAAGACAAGAATTAACGAGAGATGAAATTTAAACAATAGCCTATTATTGAACATGGAGGAAGCTTGAAGAATAGAGGAATGAAATCAATTCTTGGAAAAGGGAAACACTTCACTAAGAGCAGCTGTAGTATTTGGATATGTTAGCTTACAGACCGGAGGATTCATCACCATAAAAATCTATTGTTATGAAGGATTAAACTGTGAAATTTAAATATGGGAGCACAAGACTTGCTTTATAGCTCCTCATTAATCGTCATTAGGCATGGAGTAGTCTGTGGCTCAGATTGTCCCCGCCTCTTGCTTGAAAGAGGATGTAAAGCAGTGGTGTGGGACTCAGAGACATAAGCTCACATCTTACTTGAGACATGGAATGCTGTCTTTTATTCCCTCTGGTGTTAATGTATTTGCACTACCAGAGAGGGCTTGACTCTTTGGAAAGGAAAGCTGAGAAGGATCAGATAATGGTGGAACAGATTCAGATTCTGGAGTAACAATATCTTCAACTTCATATTGTAACCGCACTTCCAGAGCCTAGAAAAATACACATTTATAAAAAACAAAGTATGTCACATTAAAAACAACAATATGAATTTACATTCATGATTTATATGGCCCTTCACACGGGGCAGTGTCTCAGAGTGCTTAATCTACTAGGTTTTTTTTTAAGCATGTTTATTTTAAGGACTTTGCATTCTTCTCAATTTTCCAACAATCACACTTTGAACCAGCTGCCAGAGCCGTACAATAGGGAATACAGTACATCTGGAATACATCTTTGACTTCCTGTGTGGAAACAGCTGGCCTCCACTTGTCACCTTGACCAACTGGGAAGACTGAGGCTGGGAAATCAGTCAAGTGGGGGAATTGAGCTTTTTTCCCCACAGTACTCCATGCACCTTGTGTTAGTGTTCCTCATTCTGCCTCACTGAGCAAAAGCAACATTTCCTTATTTAGCACTTAGAAATTCCAGGGGCTGATTAGTACCACAACAGCATGCACTTGGATTTATATAATGATTTTTTACTATTCTTTGATGAAGGAATTATTTTACGTACATGTAAATAAGTTTATAGTACCACTCTCAGTGTTGTGGATCAATACTTTTTTTTAATATTTGCATAATGTCTCCAACTATTACTCAAGCTATTTATAAAACTGCAATGCTGTATTCTTTACAATGATAGGATGTGTTAGAAAATCTTGGAGCTCATGGGAGGTGACATAAATAAAACATTTGCAGACATTTCACTCTAATATTTATGAAAGCAATTAATTTAGATAAACAAAGAAAGAACCAGCATTTTAAAAATTAAATTGGTAGGGGAACTAATCTGCTTTACAACATTGTAGTAAGTGTATTCTGCATAGGAGAGCATTAATTAGCAATTAGTTTTATTATTCTACAATTAACAGAGCAGAACATAATTTCCAGAAGAAAATTTAGATTTGACACCGTACTTTTTACAATCAAGAATGTTGGAGTTTCAAGTTTTTAGCATTCAATAAAGACAAGTCCTAAATAAACATGATTTGAGTGAACTCAGGGCTGTAAGATTTGGGTGTCTGGAAATATCATTGGCTGCTCAATGCTCTGAAACATTTATTTAGCCTTTGATATTTGTTTCTTTTCCATGTTATGTAATATATATTTACTATTTTTCACAGTAATATCCTTAAAGTTACGAGGTGCCTGACTAAAATATATACATATAAAGGACTGCTGTGTCTGCCTTTGAAATCCAAAAAGAATACAACATTAATGCTCCAATACTGCTATTAGTAATTGAAGAAGTAGCCAGAAAGAGAAACAGTTGGGTTGCTGTCAAATTGTTGCTTAGAATGCAGTGATGTGCAGAAAATAAATAGTGCACTCTGGCTTTGGGATTCTGGATAAAGTGAAGTTGCTTGCTATCTGTGGAATAACTTAACCTCCCTGTGCTGCACTGTTGTGTAAAAGAGCATTATTTAGCAACAGCATTATACATTCTCTAGTTTCCTCCTTTCTGCAGTTAAAGTATAAGAACTATCAATTTATAATAAAAAAAATTGTCTTATCAAGCACACTTTAATCAATCCTGTATTGTAAGTCAAGGGGGTTTCACATTATAATAGATCTCAAATCAATTTTGTTTCAAATCAGTTGGAATTGTTCCCTTTCAATTAATGGAAGCAGAAAACTCTCTACATTATGTGAAATTTGTAACTACTGCTTAAAATTATTTTGGTGACATTTTTGATTAGAGTGAAGTTTTTGCAGTCTGGGAGAAATTTTGGTCTTTTCTCAATTCTTCAGCTTTGATCACTGCTGAATTTGACTTTTGCCCAGAAAGCAAAATGGCCTTCACTCGCCTTCAGGAATCACTTTTTTTTAATAAAAAGCTAATTTGGTAGTCCAATTTTTGTCACAAAAATAGAACTTTTAATTAGCGCTAGTTTGCAGTTTGCAAAGGTCACATTTTCAGCCTACCATGGCTGCCATAGTGGCAAACATGCATTGCATCTTACTCCCTCCCTTTCTTCCTTCAAAGCACATCTCAAAACCCTCCTCTTTGACCGCACATTTGGGTTCCATTCTCCTACCCCTACCCTCCCTGCCCTCCACTCCTCCTGATCCGAATTCCCTGCTCATGTCGAAATCCCTGACTGTCCACCACCTTGGATGTCCTCCTGACATGAAAGGCGCTATACAAATGTAATTTGTGGTTGTTGTTGCATATCAATTGTAATAGTCCAACTTTTAAAACAATTATAATACAGTATAACTATAACAATTATAGTGTAGGACAAACTTTGTTTGGAACAAGAAAATGCCTTTCAAATCATCGTCAACAGCTTGATATCAACCCTTTCCTACAATGGCATTTGACCAACATAGTCGCTAGGTGGGTTCCTGGGATGAGGGGGTTGACCTTTGAGGATAGGTTGAGTAGACTCGGCCTATATTCTCTAGAATATAGAAGAATTAGAGGTGATCTTATAGAAACCTATAAGATTCTTAAGGGTCTTGGCAGGGTAGATGCCATGAGACTGTTTCCCCTGGTTGGAGAATCTAAAACTAGGGGCAAAGTCTCAAGATTAAGGGTCAGCCTTTTCGAACTGAGTTGAGGAAACATTTCTTCACTCAGAGGGTAGTGAATTTGTGCAATTCTCTACCCCAGAAGGCTGTGGATGCTCAGTCCTTGACCATATTCAAGATTGAGGTTGATAGATTTCTAAAGGATAGAGGGATTAAGGGATATGGGGATAGGGAGGGTAAATGGAATTAGGTTAGACGATCAGACATGATCTTATTAAATGGCAGAGCAAGCTTGAGGGGCCGAATGGCCTACTCCTGCTCCTACGTCTTATGGACCAGTTATCCATATCTAAATGTTTTTCTTTTATTCTTGAGGCATATTGGCACATATCCTCTTTGAGCTGACAGAGCACAGCTGTTGCACAAATGAGATGAAGGTTTTTATTATATCTAAATGTTAAGATTTCTTTTATCGTAAAGAAATCAAACTAGCAGAGAAGCAATGAAACTCAACCAGGAACATGGCTGGTGGAACTGAGAAGTAAAGCGTGGCATTAAACGCAATTTCTAAACCATTTTATATTTACAAAGTTAATAAAATGTAAATTTGTGATTTTTCATTTGTTTTCTTTCACTTAGTCAATTCTGAAAATAATTATGATTGCGCATTCACAACTCAGCTCATCTTTCTGCTATCTCTGGGTCAGGTCAGTGATGGATACAATAATGAGCTTATTCCTTTGTTTACTCCTTTTCCCATCACTGCCTAGATGAGGTCAACATTACAGTGCATTAGGATCTAAAGCCTTACTCATACTGAAGATGGCAACCTTGGTGAAGTGACACTATTGAGATTTCAAGTTAATTCAAAGCAAATCTCTGTTTCAGAGCAAACCAGCATCAGAATTTTCATTGACTTTTTTAAACAAAATGTTTACTTGTATAAAGATTCTGCTGCTGAGTCCTTCCTGCTAAGTCAGTCTATTAAAAGAACATTGATTTGTTCTTAGCTAGCTATATTTTATATGTTGTGCTTATCTTGTGCTTAGCAAAGTATTAAAACAACTGAATTTATCCAACCACATGATTTTCACTGGCACCCTATAATTACAGAATTAGCTACACACGTTAATGAATTATCAATATACAATCATCATGGTGCAATGACTGGGTAATATGTAAATATATCAATTGTTAATGCTGCAGTATAGTTTGACAGTGGAAGTATTCAGTTCTGCTGCTGAATCACTGCATAATGCTTTCTCAATCAGGCTGACATAATGCTTTCTCAATCAGGTTGACTGAATCCTTTTCAAGACAGGGGCAACTCAGGCACACGTGAATTACTTACACAGTATGCTAATAAAAGGAATTTTCAATTTTCACATTTCAATGTTTTAAATTGACTGTAATTCAAATCATCTTGGCACCTAAACTAGCAAATCTTCCAAATATTCCCTCCCAATAGTGTCATCAGTGAATCCAGCCTCAGTGCTGATCAGGCAATTGAATGCAGATGTACAAATAACACTAAAATTACAAGCTTATAATTGTATCCATTCTGCAACATTACATACAAATTATTTTAACTGCAGCATCATTAAAGTTAGATGTTAACATGGAAATAACTTGGTTGTTTAGAGCAGGATAAGAGGAAGGAAAAACGTCTGTTTTGCGACTCACCACTATCTCAGTAGTAACTTCATATTTGCTGAACCTGTATACGATCACATGTGCTGAAACACCTGCCACACAGAAGATCCTGCTCTCCGGACACCAAGTGATCATCTGTATAGCAAAGGGATCTTCTTCTACAATCTCTGCTGTTTGCTTTCCATCCTTTACCTTTTGTTTTTCAAATACTTTGGAGGTTTTCAGTTTGTACAGCACTTGAAGGGTTACTATCAAAGGACAAGCAAGAACAATCTGATCACAACCAAAGCGGTGCACCATTTGAAAACACATTAAGCACTGAATATTGACCCATCAGTAGTGGGATTCAAACATAATGCAAGCTGACAAGAAAAGCATTTGGAATTATTTCAGTCAGCATTGCAAACCTATGAGTTTTGATATCCACCTGATGTCACAAGTATTAGATCTTTTTTTCTACGACAAAATACAATTTGGCAATAACAAGTATAGCCACTAGTAAATAAACATCCCTAACCATAACAAAAACAAACCAAGTTTCAATTTTGGGTATAATTTTCAAATCACTGCCTTAATTTCAAAACAATACGGTAGCACTGACATACAACTGTTTGTTTTTGCAGGGAAAGAATGCAATTTATTTAATTCAGTTTCATTCTGTGTTGTGAATTTCTGCCAACCAACAATACTGGTGAGCAATCAGAGTTACATTTTTGACCCTTTAGAGCTATCAGAGAAAGGTCAGCAAGCAAAACTCTCATGTAGTTGAGCTGTATTTGTACTTTCATGTTATTTAGAAAAGCCACCCTTGCATTACAATTTGAGTGTTACGCTAAATTAAGTTTTAAATGAGTCCTGTGCCCACATTAGAGATGTTATAGTTACGCTAAGGCTCATGGAATGTTTGAATAGCCTACTTTGAAATTTCTGTTCCAATACCATTCAGTGACAGGGTCTGAACACAAGGAGGAAATATTTGATACACATTAATAGGAAGTGGAGTTGAAAGTTTATATTCAAATCAAGATAATTTTCACTAGTTCACGTTGCAGGACAGCAAATGACTTACAACTTAGTTTCTAGTTTTATCTTTAATTTCTGAAATGTGCTTTTATGTACTCTTGTAAACAACATCTTGCATTTAGCGCCTTTTTATGTACTCCTGAAACCACACAGATACTGTAAATTCTATGTTCTCCCACCCTTGGTTATCAACTTCAGTTTAGTTAACGTACATCTCCAAAGTAAAATCCAAATGAAAGTGGGCTACAATTTAATGGCATGATGTGCACATTCCTTATTTAGCACCTAGAAACCACATCAATAGATGACTAATTGAATTAAGTTGAAACAATCTAATACTGGGCATGCACTTTAAAGTATTCCCGACTTTAGCTTTAGCGGCCCCAGGTCTTATGTGCTGTCTGGATGAGTAAGAAGAACTGATGCATGCACTGGTACTTCTAACAAATGGTGTATTGCTTGCCCTTTATATTTAGCAAGTTTGCCATGCCAAAATAATTTCCCTTGACATGCATCTGACTGTCGTCAATAAAAGCAAAAGTACTGTAACAGTGTTAGACAGCCCATGATTGGTTTGTTGAAACAATGCATGAATGTGGAAACTTGTCATCTTGTCATGCAGAATGTCTGTAATGGTAAGGATATGAAATGAGATATGACATGGACAAAAATGTTTGGGGGCACAGAATGTAGCATCTAACAAAAACATGTGAGTTAATTGTATGTCAGTGGCAATTATTATAAGAAAAGTGAGTGCAACAGGCATCAGAATTAAATACCACACACATGTACTGGTCATAGCATTAAATCCTATGTCTCTTAGTATGGCATTACATATAATATTTGTAGGATGACTTTTTGAACTGGCATAGATGCCACAAAAAACCTTGTTATCAATGCAACTCAAGGAGAACACTAATTAATAAGTTTCCTTCACAAACATGTACAGTATATTCAACAAAGTCAACTGGCTGACAACATCTGGAATTAAACTCATTTTTCTAGCTCGATCCTACGGTGAATACAAGTTTGCATCATAGTTTTTAAATCCATGTAGAGGGGAATTATAAAACAAAAGAAAAGGTCACCCAATTTTACTACTGTTGATTTCATAATTACTTGCACTATGAAACTAACAGAAGTAATTATGCCAAGACAAAATACAACATTGACAGGTAAAGGTAATCATACAACTTACAACTGTAGTGCTACATGCACCAGAGAACTATCCCGTGCCTTATGAAATAATGCTGCAGTCGGATGTAATCAGAAATAAATAGGGTTCATATGGTGCCATCTCTGCTACAACCATGCAAATTGAAATGCATATCATATTAGCAGGACTACCAACACAGTTCAATAATGCTGTGTTTTCTGCAACTACAGTGCATGGAGTAAAATGATGTAAGCCATTAACTGTGTCTTTTATAATCTTTATTTCCACTTATGAGCTCCGTTTGTAGTTTGCCTATTCCATTTTCAGTATAATCTTTTTGTGGCAACATTTGTCGGCGATACAACCCTGCTTTTTTTCAAGTTAACTAGAATGTATACTGTCATCCATTAGCTTTGTACTATAGTAAGCTTTGTAACATTGAATGTGCCAGACATTTTGGCATCCTAATTTCTGCAGTAGACAGAACACTTTTGTATGTCAAAGAAATTTGTCAGATATAATTCTAATAATTATAGGAGGTAAAATAATTTATGAGTGTTTTATTATCTTGTGTCTAAACATTGAATGTAAGTATTCATCCAAGAACGTTACCCATTCCACATATATTGCAATGTTTTGCGCTTTTCTATTAATCATGGTCTCGCTGTCATAGCCAACTTCAGTATCAAATGGTCACGATAATAATGATGAATGTTACACAGGTCCGATATTATGCATTTCGTTTGTTTCCTGTGTGGACGTCTTACTGCAGCTTTGTTGAATATCACAAAATACATTTATTTTCCGTATAGCACAGCTGGACTTAAGGCATCAGTTGCTTTATGGTCACTTTGAGATCTCCTTTGTGTTGTTAAAACATGTTAAAAATTTTAAAGTCAACTCCCCATTGCCTAAACTTTCACTGCAAGTATCTCTAAATAATGCTGAATACAGGTAGCTCTAAGCAAAACATGGTCGCTCGTGTGTAACCATTTAATATGAATCAGAATTTCTTAATCATTGTTAGAAATCAGACCTCGATATAGTAATTTAGAAATTTCCTTAAAAAAACTAATAGATTTTAGGTACTATTATTTCAAGATAATTACATGGTGTAGAAAATCCACAGGAGAAGAAAATACAAATATTTATAATAACGTGTGGGTTGTACTTATAGGAAGGTAATATGTGTGACTTTCTCTCTAGACAGGTTATGACATTTCTTTATCAGGTAATAAGTTCCTTGCGAGAGCAGATTGAGATAACTGAGACAATCTCCCTGTGTATGAAGCTATGATTTGGAGCTAGTCTGCATACATAGCGCAGATTCCAATCAAGTTTATATATAGTCTGCGTAAACAACCCGGTAGAAAGGACAGACAGCTTATTCACGGTTGTGGTAAGGTCTAATCAGGTGTAAGGAATATTTGATTCAAAGGAAAGTGGAGGTGAAGGTTTAGATTCAGATGAAAGTAAATTGGTTGTTAAGATTGGATGCGAGTCAACAGATTGTCCTATCAGGATGAGGATTTGAATCTTATAGGATAAAAGTCTCTTTTCTCTGCGGGATAGGAGTCATGTACAAAATGAATTTGGGCAGTTTCGGTTAAGTTGCCACCAGCACAACATCTGTAATGTATCCTGACTTATTAATAAAAAGGCTATAATAATAATAATCCTTGCATTTGATAAAGTGCCTTATCATGTTGTCGAGAAGTCTCAAAGCGCTTCACAGGATGTACTGTAAAGGAAACTTGCCTAAGGTTTCGCCTGTCGGAGATGGATGGCTTAAAATGGATAGTTTCAAAAGGACAAAAATCATACCAGCACAGGAGTGGGTTCCCTTTGGAACTTGGGATTAAAGAACCATAGAAATGTACAGCACAAGAGGTGGCCATTCGTCTGATCGTATCTGTGCTGGTTCTTTTAAAAGCAATCCTTTCAGTCCCATCTTGGCACAGAGTAAATGGATTTGTAATCATGTGAAACCTGACTTGTGCTTGCTGGATGCTCACAATTTCTGCTGTTTGGTAAAACCACAATTACAGAATCACCGACATTATCAGCAAATTTTAGCCAGTTAGGTGACCAATTTGGAAGAATGTTCCATTTCACAGCACTGATATCCTCACATTGAAGAGCACAGAAATACATTCTCCCCAAAATTATTGTTTTTAAAATGGCTGCCATACAGTTAAATACAGATAAATACAGTTTTCTTTTTGCATCGCTTTTTAAACAAGAGCAAAAATCGCACTCCCTTGTACAGATATAAGATCAAGGTAGAGAAAGTGATAAATTAAGTTTAATGCAGTCTTAAATAAATTAATGAATGGACTATTTTCAAATATGTATATACAATGCAAAGATTGGAGCTTACACACTTACTGGCAGAAGCATCCCAGAACTTCAAAGAACCATCAGCATGCCTATGAGAAACAGAAGCTTTATTACAAATTAAAAGCAATCAGAGTCATAGCTCACAAGCAATTCAAACAGAATTGCTTGAATTGCCTGTGAAGTTTTCTGACCCCTGCAATAACCAATGTAGGGGTCAGAAAAGCACTCTCAAGGAAAGTGGCAGCGTTACTGATGTTTTACCATCAGAAAAGTGCCTTGTGATGTAAAGCGCATTTTAACTAGAGAATTGCATGTGGGTCAATACATTTCTGAGTTTGTGAGAAATTGGCTCTAATCTGAGTTTGCTGCAGGGCTGAGGTCTCGCACATCACTCTGACAGTGGAATTTCCTGCACAAAATTTAAGTTTAAGCTTTTCTGATGGTTAGGTGCCAATAATGCTACTGCTTTCAAGAGAAGCACTTTTTCAACCCCATTGTTAGTGGTTAGTAAATTTGTTGGGAACAAATGGGTACGAAAAAGGCGATTTTTAATGGCTAAAGTTTTCCACCCTGTGACTGGTAAATGTAGTAGTGATATCAACTTGAGAACAAACCTTACCTGAGACCACTTGAAACATATCCGAAAAAGGTAAAGTAACTTGCAATACGAAAGTCATGAAAGTTGGTCTCATTCTCCAGAAATGTGTACCTTGCTAAAGGGTTAACAAGCTACTGCTGACAACAGGGATTGTAAAACAAATCTATTATTCTAGCATACTCACATCACACACAGTATTCAGAGGTGAGCACCGAAGTTAGCTCTGCTGAGGACATGTAAATGTAACCATTTCAATGCAGAAAAGCACACTTGGTTTTTTTTAAATAGTCATACTGCATATAATAGCAAGTAGGTAAATATTATCTATACAGAAATCTAAAACTACATAGATATTAAAATAACGTTCCTCCATTTGGAATTTTTGTTTGGGGTGGGTATGTGAGGAGGATTACTCTTCAGTATTTTATTTTCAATAGTGTGCCCAAAATTTTCTGATACATATTATGACTATTGTCATGCTCGTATTTGCAATGAATGACCGATAACATAATAAAGTTAGTATTTGCCAAGTGCTCCTTTTCACCTCCCTGTAAACCTCACAATCAACTATGGTTAACAGTACCTTACAGCAGTTGATAGCTGCAGTAAGAAAACTGACCGTGGGTTCTTCTCATTTAATCACAATAACTATTGCTTCAGTGAAGAGAATAACGATGGTCTCTTAAAGAGTAGACTTGTGCACAATCTCTGACTTCTTCCATGACTAGAATCTCTGAATAATGTACAAAATCTGATCAAGAGTGGCTAAGCAATGCTTTATGAGGGTACCATCAATGTCATTCAGGAGCTATCTACCAGAGGCTCATTGATTCCACCTAATGTGAGCTGGTAAGACCATGCTCTTAAAATTGAAAATCATCAGAATTGTGGAAAAATCTTAAATCAAGTCTTAATTTGGAAGCAACTTTTCTGCAGGTCTCGAAAAGAACCAACTTTCAAATTGAGACTGGATTTAAGAATTTTTCACAATTCTGCATGAATTAAAAATTTTAGGAAAATTTTTGTATATAGGTTAAGATTAAGTGGAATTTTTGGGCTTCTGAGTATGTGGAAACGGTTCACGGATGATGTCGCTCTAATTATCTGTTGTTAGCTAATTCCTCCTCACATCATTATTTGTGAATGGGAAATCATTACGTGGGGAGGAGAACTAGGGCCAAGGTTCCACAACAGCCAACAATATTGGATGCTGATGCTCCAATGGTCCTGAATCACCAAACTAACCTTTTTGCTGTTCATTTTAAAAACAGCTGAATTATCCCAAAGAAGGCTGTTGAACTAGACTGATTATTGGTTCTGGGATTCCATCTGTCACATTCTGGTTAGAAGTCCAACTTTCGACCGCTAAGTTATTGCTCCCCGATACATCCAATTTGTTTATAAATAACTTCAAAATTACAATTTAGTTTCCTCTAAAATTATCCTGATATTAATATTTTGCAAAGGGTAAGTAATATTTGAGGATGGACTTGTGCTTTTTTCTCTGTATGTACATAAAGTGACATCTCTGAAGACTGGGTTGCACAAAAGAAAATAAATTATCTTATTGATATTCCTGAGGCATATTATTCAAACTTATGAATAAATTGTAGCAGTGCAAACATCTTCAAAAAAAACACAACATCCAACACTAAGAAGTTATTGATTTCTTGCTCCACTGTTGAGTTTTCTCCTTACCCAGTTATGATTATTTCAGGATATGTTTGTGAACCCAGATTCCATGTACCACCACTGATTGGCCATTCCTAGGAAGAAACAGATATAAATAGATATATTCCAAGCTGAATACAAAATATTCTAAACCTCTGGTTGCCGAGTGAAGTTTATTAGCCTTTTAATAAAAAGTCAAAAGTTGTGTTTGGTTTACTAAATCCAAACAACCTCTCTAGCAACGGTCTAAAAGGATTTAATGACACTTTACGGATGTTAGTACTGGTAAATGGAAAATTTTCCCCTTTTTGATATCCAATCTACCAGGTGAGGAATGGCATCACCTGATGGTCTATTCTAAGAAACTTCAATGATTATTGTAATATCTATTATTTATTTTGTGCAGAGGGTTGTTTGATAATGGAATGCTTTGCCACAACACAAATAGCTATAGAAGTTGAGATTGTAACATTTAAAAGGTTAAATTTGATAAACAGCTGAAAAGTAAAACAAAAAGCTATAGAAATTGAGACTGTAATATTTAAAAGGGAATTTGATGAACAGTTGAAAAGAAAAACAAAAGGATGTGGGAAGGAGGCAAGGATTTTGTATTAGTTCCAATTGAGGAGTTAGTTAGTTCCAGTTGAGGAATTGGTACCAATATCTCTCTATTCATGCTATTAATTTAACTTGAAAAATATCATGTGTTTTTGTATGTTTTTAATTTTGAAGATAAAGACAAGGCACTTTAACAGCACCATTTGCATAAAAATGAAAATTGCACTATGAATAACTTCTATGTTCAATAACACTTCCTTTTTTTATTATAACATGTTAATGATCACACTGATTTAATAATTAACCCAGTAAAGAAGAAGGTGCCTTAAGGCAGCAGAATTGTCCAAGGCTGTTAATAATAATCTTTGCATTTGATAGAGGGCCTTATCATATCTTTGAGACGTTGCAAAGCGATTCACAGAATATATTGTAAAGTGAATTGACCGTATATTTTGCAAACAAGATTCAAATATAAAAATGTTACCTTTGTGCTATATCCTTGCTTTTTTTGTTGTTTGGCTCCCACTGAATAAAGTGCAGGTATCAGATCGGGAGGGCAATCAGCAAAGTACTCAGAACAGGTCACTGGAGACTCATGTATGTCCATTGAATAAGAGTTTTCAAAGATAGGAAAACTGATGAACAAAAGCAAAAACAGTACTAAATTGTAAACAGTAAAGAAAACTCAGACAATGAGAACAAAATTCTATAGTTTATTGAAATAATATCACACCTTCTCTTTCAGGATAATTAAACAATTATCAATTGTTACATTTCAGCTTGACTGAGTTGATAGCATTCACCACCAGGGGAGTCACAAAATTGTGGGCTCAAATCCTTATGAACTCAATCTACACTGGCATTCCAGAAAATGGAAAATAAACCTGGAATTTCAATATAAACAATCTAAACAAAATGAGGAGTCAGAAATAGCCAGTAGCAGATCTAAAAGGAAATTTGAAGAGAACATCTTCACACAGAATGTGGAAATCACTGCTGGAAGCTGTGGTTAAAGCAGAAAGCATCAACATATTTAAGAGGTACCTTGGTGCATACTTCAGGGGGAAACGAATAGCAAGGTATAGGAGAACGCATTAGGAGAGGTGGAGGCTCACGTGGAGTATAAACATCGGCCAAATGACCTGTTTCCATGTTTTTACCTTTAATGCAATTTATACTGATCTCCAGTTAGGTTGTAAATAGCCTGATAATGAAGAGAAATGTTGAAATGTTACAAACTACGGATGTAAATGGCTGGCTGTTCTAATACTGATATCATCAATTGCCACATTGTTTGAAAAAAGATTTAAATAACCTATGAAGCAGTGGTGAATAAGTACCATTATAATGCCTCTGGTTAAAGTCTTCATTCTTTTTTCAGTCCTTTTGAGACCATGAGTATTGCTTTTTGCAACCTTTAGTTATAGATTTTCACACAGAAAATTTTAAAAACGAGCAATTTTTGCACACATAAAAAATTAAAAATATAAGCCTAGGAATGCACTTATCTATGCAAATATGCTTACTTGCTTTGTGTCAGGTCAACAACAATTAGATCTTTTTCAAGTAGCACAACCACTGCATAAGGATCCTGGAATTCTGTGAAATAAAGCCCAAATAGACAGATCATGATTATAAATTAGTAGTAGGTTGGTACAGAATGAAAGCATGTGCCCCACTAATTATGAATAGCTCTTCAAATATTTAAATCATCATTTTCCTTATTGTGCTCACAAAGATAAAGGATTAGTTAACACAATTAATGAAAGGAATCTGGACAGGGGGAGGCACCTTTCCAGATTAGATGACCATCGCATAAATCTTTAATAATTAGACTTGCTTCTTTCTATCCATTATAAACTAATTCATTGTTCTATTTTAATCGTGAAAGCCCAAATAACTGTTACTCGAGTTGCTACTGGAGTTACTGTTACTATATCTTGCTTATTCTGAATAGGGATTATTCCTGCAAGTACTGAACACATAATGGAAATAGAAACTGGTGCATGTTGACATGCTGTATATACAGTGTTCATTTTTGGCTGTTGGCTTGCCACAGAAATATCTTGCCATTTATTTTCCGATCAGCAACTCAACTTTATGATGAACATATATAGCAATAGTTAATTCAGATAATAAATAAAGTGATACAAGCAAATATCAAAGTTCTTGAATAATTCATATTAGCTGCCTAGATATAATTTGCACAATAATTTAGAAAACAATGACAGTTTCACGGGTATAGAGCCAATGTAGCATTTTTTTCTGAAGTTGAACGCAGAAAACTTTAAGTGAGGGTGTGTGTCAAATTTGGATACAGAGCAGGGAATGGAAGAATAAAGCCAAAAGAAATTCATCCCAAAATATAAATGGAAATTCCATTGGTTCACTACTAACATATTAAAGATAAAAATGGAAGATGTAAATGTTACTTGAAAAGTGTTTTTTATAAAAAGAAAAGGTTTCTTTGATGTAATGCAATTCTGAATTTGGCCCCAAATTTCTGAGTAAGGAGCAGTTATGGTTGTTTTTCAAAATATTACTTTAAACCCCGAAAACGTCTCAGTCTTCTAAAGAGGAAAATTATACAATGCTGTTCCTTCTTCTTAACTTACCATTTGGGTATGGTGTTTCACAAAGTGTTAGAAAATCCACAACAGGATAGTCCATTTCTAGAACAGTAACAGATTTGCCGTGCATAATTGTCAGGCTGGGTCTTCTGCAGCCCTTATCATAGGAAAGTCCTCCAGAAAAGATTATAAATGGTTCGCTGAAAACAAAATTGTAATTACAGTACAACTTCTTTAAAAATGATAATACAGTTTCTTTCCTTAAGATGTTAAGACATTTTCATGTCTTAACATCTTAAGATTATTATTATTTTGTTATTTTCATAATACATTAATGCTGGAAATCTTTTTTTTTAAAAATTACTCATACATTTTATTTTAAATTACTAAACAATGCGTGAAGAACAACAGTATGGAAATTCATACTTTTTCCAGTTTGCAAACATAAAAATCACATCAAACGTTTCCAGGCCAGCCATGGGATGAATTATCTGAGCTGTAAGCTACCCTACAAGGTTGTGAAAATAAATCTTAACCCTTAGTTTAAAACACTTCCAAGTGTTTTTTTTCAATCTTCTACAAGCTCTTTGCTTGCAGAGCTTGTTTCCTGAAATGTTGTCAACTAAAGCCAAATTTGCTGATAGCCTTTTGGGCAGAGAACTGAGTTGAGACAATTTAAACCCATAACCTTCATCCAGAGGAAACCATCATCCATTGGTGCATCAAATGGATTAAAAATTGTGGAAGTGGCAAAAAAAACATTCAAATTCATCGTGCCACATGATTCTCATTATCAGATAGATGGAAACTTCCTTTATCTCTGCTTAGGTTGAATTCACTATAGTCCTCATAGGTGCAATACAGTTGTCCGAGCTGCTGTATGACCTAACCTCCAACCAGAAAGAATAGATTCTCATTCACTGTATGTCAGAATCAGCCATAGGTCCCATAAATAACAGGACCATTGTTCTAACGCCACTTCTTACTTGCTGGAAGAATCTAGAGAAAATGTACACCTCACCTGGAATATCGAAGAGCAACAGAACCAGTGCAACCCGTCCCTCTCTCCCACCCCCCACCCCCAACCCACACACATTGACATCAATGTTTCTTTCAATGTTTGTCTTAAAGAATTTCACACTCTGTGCTTTCACAGAATTAACTGTTGACTTCCCCAAAGAATGTATTGTATGGATTTTTTTGCACATCAATATCTGAATTGTCTCCATTGACTTTTTCCAGATCACAGCAACAATTAATGGTGGATACAACTGGCGTGCATCAGAAATTAGAAAATATCTGAAGATATAAGAACAGCAGCACCTGTTGTCAAGACAATACCTCTGCAGAGAAGGAAGATGGAAATCATAATAATAATTCTTGCATTTGATATAGCGCCTTATCATGTCTTCCAAGACGTCTCAAAGCGCTTCACAGAATATATTGTAAAGTGAATTGACTGTATATTTGTGGGCGAAACGTGGCAGCCGATTGGACACAGGAGTGTCCCACAAACAATCAGGGAATGAGAGACCACATTTTTTTTTAAGATCTGCCAATCGACCAATAACTGGGTTCCTACTTACTGCTAAGTAAACAGAAGCGTGTGAGTAAGGAAACTTGCACAACATTTCGCCCTGTCCATGAATCAAATCTAGGTCCTTTCGCTTGCGAGGCAAGTGCTTTAACCAAGAAGCTACAGGACTTCACAATTTGACAGGAGTTACGATTTGAAAAGATATTCAACTTTCTTCAAATAGTAAAACATTAAAAGATACATTTATTTTTGGTGCACTCTTTGGCTGCCATAAAAATAGGTAAGTATGAAGGAATTGACGAAAATAAAGTTGATAAATAAAGGTAACTACATTTACCTATTCTTATTTGTCTTGTAATCTGCTTTTAGGATTGGTTTGCATGGTTCAGGCTTTTTTCCATCACGCTGTGGTTTCCCTAGTGATCAACAGACAAAAAACAATGTAAACACAATGTAAAAAAGAGTTATGCCTTTCCTTTGTTGTTTACTTCACTTCAGAAATTTTGATAATTAGGATGGACATTGGATTCACTCAACATTAAAGCTAATAACATTACATGACTGTTAATTCAATTCAACTCTCAATTAATTCTATTATCGTTTTCTGTTTTCAGTATCACTATCTCTGTAGAGTCCCTCCATCTCCCCCATCACCTTTTTAATGACGTATCTGTGCCTTGCAATATTTTAGGTGACAAAATGATCAGATGACTTCCTCTATCTATACCAGCATCTTCCAAACAGGCGGGCGGGTAATTGGACTCGAGGTACAGATCAGCCATGATCTTAAGGAATGGTGGAACAGGCTTGAGGGGCTGAATCGCCTACTGCTTCTATGAGATGCAGTGCGCATTTTCCAATTCTAAAACTACAGAACTATGAAAAATACATAAAATACTATAAAAAAATTAAAAATACTATAAAAAAAATTAAAAAATGCTAGAGCATTTTACAATTCTAAAACTACAGAACTATGAGCCTCAGTAGGAAACGCAAGTAGATATGGAAAATAGAGGATGTCAGTGTAAGTGGTAAGTGGATTCCTTGTTTATTGAAAGTAATAGAAAACCTGAGTGCCTTGTTTGTTTGCAAGTTATATCAAGTCAGATCTGTGTTGAAGAAGTTCAGAGTTAGTTTTGCAATTATAGATTAATCTGTTTTGATTTTGTTGATTCTCTGTAAGGCCCTCCATATGTCGAGTTGATATCTTGTGTTTTGACTTGAAATCTGAAACCCTTAAAATAGGATCACTTCCTTTCCAAGTATAACCATAGAAAAATTCGAAATTATCTAATATTAGTATTAAAAAGTCATTCTGGACTTTAAGATAATACACGTGTACATTTTTTTTTAGCTTTTAGAATTACTTACCATGTGGCACTGTGATCTGAAAGGGTTTGGTGGGATTTCTCAAATTCCAAAGGGTTAAGCTCCCATCTGAATGGCTACACATGAACTGCCTTCCTTCATGATGCCAGCTAACAGAATGAATAGCCTATAAAATGAGGATGTTACAAAATAACATTATACACTTTTGAATACAACTATAGGTTATACTTCATGAAATGTTTTTCGAGCTGTGTAATAGCTGTATCAAGAATCAATATATTACTTTATATTACTCAATAATGAGTTCACCAAAGTTAAACTTAATCTGCTTTATTATGCTATATTCATTTGAAACCCATGCACAGTGACTATTAAACAAACCACTCTATCAAACCAAAATTGATATGAGGAGCGATTCTCTGAAGATCAGTAAAATTTATGGTCCTTGGGGTATGAAATTATAATCGGAAATTCCCAGGAAAGAATAACATGTTCTAAAATTTACAGACCTTGGGGGAATCTCTCCTGTAGAATTATGTGTGTCAGCCTGGCTAAGTTGGTAGCACCCTCTCGTTTCAGTGAGAAGTTCGTGGGTTCAAGTTCCACATCATGACTTGGAACTCGTACAGTCTAAGCTGACACTCTAATGCAGTACTGGGGATGTGCTGCATTATTAGTGGTGCCATCTTTCGGATGACATGTCAGACTGATGTCTGGTTTCTCTATTCAAGTGGACGTTAAAGATCCTATGGTATTATTCGAAAATAGAAGAGTTTCTCTCCCAGTGTCCTGGCCAACATTTCCCCAAATTGGTCTGCAGAAGTATGCCCACAACACAGTCACTGCATTTTACAATCCTGTGAAGTGCTTTTGGGTGTCCTCCAAATACGAAAGACGCAATACCAAATGTAAAGATTATTATTGTTATATTCTGTATAGGTTAAGCAAAACAGTTTCGGTCTGAAAGAATGCCATAGAATAATGTACAAAATTTCAAAGGGAAAAATCAGAAAAATTATCTTATTCATCTGACTCATTTTGCTAAACATTGATACATTTTTCAAACTGATTGTGGGTACCTCTTTATTTCCTGACATTCATTGACTAACTAGTTTTGTGAATGTAGCGGAGGTGCATTTGGCACTTGCATAACTGAACTGGACCGATCAGATCACTTATCTATTGAGGTCCCAACTAAGGTAGCTTTCAGCATGGTGCAGGAATGTTTCTTGTGAAAACAAAAATAAACTCGCTGTTTTAAAATTTGGTGCCATTTATTTTCCATTCAGGAAGAAGACGACACTTTGTTGAAAACATACGTTTCAGTTGAAAGAAGTTTTACGCAGGCATATTTCCACAAATATACAGTTACCTTCAAAATATAAGGTAATCTTTCGCAATATCACAGGGGTGTTTTCCCATAGTAAATGTACCCATCTTGGTCTGATTTTTCATTGTTTGGTACATTTACAATGAGCGTGTAATTGGAATGCACACAAAAAGCAAATAAAATTGTTGATTCAACTCTTCAGATACATAAATGAAAAGAATTAAATAGCAATCATCCTTGCATTTGATATAGCGCCTTAACCCTTTATTGAAAGGTCTCAAAGTGCTTCATGGGACTCACTGCAAAGTGTATTGATTGTGTACTTGGAGGTGAACATGGCGACCAATTTGTGCACAGCAATGTCCCACAACAACTGTGCAGTGAATGACCAATTTTATCTTATGGATTGTTGGCCAGGCAGCAGGAAAAACTCCCTTCTCTTTTTGAATAGTGCCATGGGATCTTTAACATTCGCCTGAATAGGCAATCGGTTTAATGTTTTATCCGAAGTACAGTATCTCTGACAATGCAGCATTACACTGAAGTGTCACCTAGTATTCTTTTCAAGTAAATAAATAAGGTTGCTAAATCACAACATGTTTAAATCATTTCACGTGTATAAATAATAATCCTTACATTTGGCATAGCGCCTTTCAGGTCAGGAGGACATCCCAAAGTGCTTCACAGAATAATCTGTTAGGCGTAATGACTGTGTATTTTGTACCATCCTCCTTCTAATTGAACATAGTCTATGAAAATCAACACTGTATTTTGATTAATGCTTTAGCCAACAGCTGTAACATTTGATCAGTGTGTAAGTTATTATACTTTCCTCACTTTGGGTCAACAAAAATAACTACTCAATTATTTTGCAATCATTTAGACCGTTTCAATAACCAATACTTAAGAGATTTGCTGAGTTTATTAGATTTTTGGCCAGTTTCAAATTAAGTTTAATATGCAACATTTTATAGTTGGTCTTTCAACATTCATAGTTCAATTTAACAAAAGGAAAATAAAACATTTTGAACTTTTATTAAGTGGAAAATGGTGCAAAAGAACTTCACTATGTTTTTTTCTCTGGCTATTTCCTTTTAAGAAACCCTCAAATATTTTCTAAACACATCAATTTTGAAAACAAAAATTGGATTAAGATTGCATAATGGAGCTTTGAATATTAAATACAGTACAATTTATATCTATATAATGCCTTTCATGCTGGGAGGACTTCTCAAAGTGCTTTTCACAGTTGTCTGAGCACCCAAATGGGGTACAATAGACCCTCACTATCACGTGCGACTCGCGAAACAAGTAAATTGTAGATTGAGACAGTGCAGTCAACCAGAACAAATAACTGAGAAAATATTTACAGCTATGGTTCACTCATAATAATGTTTACACAAGTATATACTAGAAGCCGAGTTTTTTCTACTGATATTTCCTTGTAAAGATAATGAAAATACATGATACAGAGCGGTGATTTATTTCTGTACCACCATTCCTTGATTGTGTATTGTATTTATATGATGTGTTTTAAGAACTGCAACATAGATTTTTAACAAGGCAAGATCGATAAGATAAAGGCTGATTGTGCTAGCTTGAGTAGAATTACTGATGAAAGTGGCTGGGCTGGTTACTTGTCACTTCATCTTTAAGCACTTCTGTGTGTTAGTTATTATCAGCTGTAAAGCAGTCAGTGTTGGAACCATTCAGACACATTATTATGGCTTCAAAAATATATTTGGCAAATTCTGGACACTCTAAATCTAGATGCAGGTAGATTTTCTCTGCAATAATGACTGCTTGTTTCTTCGATTAATTTTACGATTTCAATCTCTTCAGTTATTCAAAGCAAGCCATTTTCTTGTGCTCTCCTTTTTCATGTAACCTATTTGTGCCTGTTATTAAGAATATCTACAAACATGCATCCTATAAATATTCTCAAAATAACTAGAAGGAGAAAATAATGCAACCATTAGGAACTTTCACAGAGTGTCAGCATCTTTATGAGGGTTTGAATTGTTTAACTTATTTCGGTTAAACCCCACCCCCCCACATTCAGATTTATATTGAAGAACAATGGGATGAATGACAAATAGGTCAGAATAGCAAGTGTAATCAATAGACAGTACAGTGCCAAATGAAACAGATGAGATGATTGGGAGGCGTTAACCTTCACATTCACGTTTTGATTCGTGTAGGCAGCCCAACTAGCTCCTTAAAGTGATGTGTCAGCCATTTCATTTTGTTCGAGGATGCAGAACTGACAACCATCTTCAGTGTGCCAAGGGCTATTTTATAAGTGCAATCTCATAAGATACTGAATTCAACTAGAGAGCATCTTTGTCCTTTTTGAAAAATTGTTAAAAATGGCATTAGAATTTGTATGCAGAAAATAATAAATTTCAGTGAGAACCTATGAGGTGGGAAGGAGAGGGGAGGGAAAACACCCCCAAAATATCTACCTACCAACACTGACAGATTTTTTTTAATAATAAAGGGAAAAATAAAAGCAAAAACTGTTTTGATACCTTTACTAAGGCACCAATCAGAAAGGATTGCTACTACTGTAATAATATTTCCATATTAAAGTGGTCTGCCCCTTCCCCAAGACCCTTGTACTCCTCTCAAATCATAGCAACTTGGGAGATTCAATAGTTCATTTATATTCTTGGAGATTAGTAAAGGAAACATGCAAAATATTGGTTGCCAGAAATAAACAATTAAACCCATAACATTCTTGGGTATAAAGGTGCTTGGCTTCTGATCATTCTTTTCAGTTTCCTACACAGTTGGCACTACTGAACAAAAAAAATTAAGTGGGAATTAATGAGCAGTTTAGTTGCAACTGAAGTTATGGAATTAATGGGTGATGCTGTATAGCACAGGTCCACTGTTTTTTCTCCCTAAGGAAAGAACTTTAGCCCTAATAAAGACATTTAAATATCAGAAGAAAAGGAACGCAAAGATTTATTTAAGATAACATCTCCACCATCCGTCCAATGTCAAAGTGACTTGCTAATCACCCCACCTGAATTTTTTAAGCATTGAAAGGAAAGGAGAATTGAGAATATTGATCAATGATACTTTCTTAAGAGGATTTTGAAGGCAGGGAGAGAAAGCATGTGGCAAAGGAATATTGAGAAAGTATTGTAAAACTGAAATATGTAAATTATATTATATAAAATTGGATAAATATGTAATTGTTATACATAATATATGTAGAGACTCCTGTAGCTTAGTGGTTAGAGAACTCATCTCTCGCAAGCGAGAGACCTGGGATCTATTCCCGGTAGGGCAAAATGTTGGGCAAGTTTCCTTACTCCACATGCCTCTGTTTACCGAGCAGTACGTAAGAATCCAGTTGTTAGTCGATTTTTGGCTTTTCCAAGGATAAAAATACTTTAAAAAAAGTACAATAATAATTTTATCACTAAATCAACGACTGTTTTTGGGACACTGCTGTGCGCAATTCGCTGCCGCGTTTCACCGACAAACATACAGTCAATACATTTTACAGTATATTCTGTGAAGCACTTTGAGACGTCTATAAGTTGTAAAAAGCGCTATATCAAATGCAAGGATTATATATAGAACATGAAGTATTATTGCAGCCGTTCTAGGTCCTAATATTAGTTTCTCCAGCAAGGTCTGCAGTTGGACATGATTGTTCTCCCATTTAGTCACAAAACTGCTATTTGTTATGCTCACTCAGTTTTTAACCGCATTCTTCAGATATTTTATATAATTAATTTTTGGAAAACTAATTTTTTGTATAATGAAGACTGGAAGACACAATAACAGTGAATTAACTTTATAATGTGTTGGTGGCTTACATGTTTAATGTAAATCAATGCCCCTGGTGTTATGATCTTGTTGGCTGTGCATGCATCCTTGTTTGATAGTTTGGTTCAATCAGTAGGACTCACCAATTAGAAAGTTTTTGAGCTTCATGTCAGAACTGGAGCTTACATCTAGCCTGATACTCCTGTGCAACACAGGGGAAGTGCTACATTGTTGGAAGTACCATCTTTTGGATGAGTTAAATCAGGGGCCATTTGCCTGTTTTCAGGTAGAAATCAAAGATCCCATTACACTATTCGAAAAAGAAGTTTCTCCTGGTGTGCTGGCCAAGAATCCTCCAGCTTAATTATGTAGTCACCTTGTGGATGTTTACGCATACAACCATTAATCACAAGAACTGTGAGTTTGAAACATGGTGATTTCTCCCATGAAAATTAATTCCTGCATCATTTTCATTCCCATCATGCGATGCATAACAATTTGAGTAACTGTGTAATTTCTACTTCTCATATTGTCCTTCTCATATTCCCGTTATATTTTTCTGTCTCAGGAAAGCAATTTGTAAATATCTTTTTGCTAAGACTGTTTTTAAAACTACTGAGAGACGCTATTAGATGGAAGTTTTAATGTGGCACATTTGATCAGTGAGAGGCATCTATGATGCTTTCTGATATTTGAATAACCGCAGCTGTTGTCAGTCAGTATGATGAGTAGTGTAATACAGCATCAATAAAACAAGTAACTGGTAATCCAGAAAAAATGTGTTAGGCATCTGGAAAACCTACAGCAGTACACCATTTGGGAACCCACTTAAATTTCCCCAAACTCCCTCCTGCAGACCTTAATAAAGATTGAGCAAAGATTATATTTGTTCTAATGTTTGCATTAAACGTTTTCGCTGAGATGCCGTCCGGCAAGGAAGGCGCTATATAAATCCAAGTTGTTGTTGTTGTAATTAATCTTTATAAAGCTTGATTCTATTTGTATTCATTATTTTCTGTGTAAATACAGCCCATGTAGTGGAATACATTTACAGGAGTAATTCTTATTTGTACTACTTGTGGAACGTAGAAAATGAGAGCTCTGCAGCCCATGTCCTCTCCTGCACCAAACTCTGTGACCCCATCTCCCCCGAATCCATTGGCTCCCTATCCTTCAGAGGATCCAGTTCAAGATCCTGGTCCTCACCTACAAAGCCCTACATGGCCTCGCCCCACCCTACCTCTGTGACCTCCTGACCCCTACCAACCCGCCCGCTCCCTTCGCTCAGCCGGCTCTGGCCTGCTCCACGTCCCGCGACTCACCCGCCCCACCATTGGTGGGAGCGCCTTCAGCCACTCTGCCCCCAACCTCTGGAATTCCATCTCCCAATCGCTCCACCTCGCCCCCTCCTTAGCCTCCTTCAAGTCCCGCCTCAAAACCCTCCTCTTTGACCGTGCCATCGGTTACCCCTCTTCCCCCTCCCCTCTCCCACCCTGACCCTAGTGCCTTGGGACATCCTCCCGACATGAAAGGCGCTATACAAATGTAATCTTGTTATTGTTATTTAAAGCACCTTATCATGTATAAACAGCTTACGTAACCACAATGATTTGCTGTCAAGTGTATGACTATTTTTGGAGGCAACTACACAGACATTTGCTCCAGGTTCCCAAAGTAGCCAAGGGGGTGAATAGCCAATTAATTTAGACTGAGAATACAAACAAACACTCTTCCCTTTTTTTTTTTGAATGGTATTATGAAATCATCAGCATCCACCTGAACAGGCAGAAGGCACCTCAGTTAACATAATAATTATTAATAATAATAATCCTTGCATTTGATATAGTGCCTTACCATGTCATCAAGATACCTCAAAGTGCTTCATGGGATATACTGTAAAGTGGAGTAACTGTATTTTGTGGGCAAAACATTTAACTGAGAGACATGTTCCTGCATCTATCCATCTATCCATCTTCTGTCGATACTAATAAAAGTCTGTCTGCACTTCAAGAAGGATCTCAATAACCAATTGATGTAGAGACATGATCTATACCTCATCGGAAAGATCTTACATCTAGGAGTGACATGGGCATAATTATTTTCTGGTATGTCCTATCGTTTAGGAGTTATTTTCAGTTTTGCATTTTTCGCTGCAGTTACACCTGGTGGCCGCCAAATCAAAGCAGCGCTGTGGCATCGTGTGTCTCAGAGCACGTACATCTGTGCACATGCACTGCAGTTACACCTGGTGGCCGCGCCAGCTGACCATGGTGCAGTAGCATCCTGTGTCACAGAGCACCCACGTAGCCAAATGGAGGGAACAAAATAACAACAACAAAATTACATTTGTATAGCGCCTTTCACGTCAGGAGGACGTCCCAAGGCACAGGACAATCAGTGTTTCGGAACCGAGCTGGGGGTTGAGATCGGGAAGGGTGGAGAGCAGGGGGGGAACGAAGGTGACCAAAGGTATGGTTGAAGAGGAGAGTCTTGAGACTTGTCTTGAAGGAGGCAAGGGAGGGGGCGAGGCGGAGGGACTGCAGAATGGAGTTCCAGAGGGTGGGGGCAAAGTGGCAGAAGGCCCGCCCGCTCGCCAATGGTGGGGAGGGCAAGGCAGGGGATGTGAAGCAGGCCTGAGCCCGCTGAGCAAAGGGAGTAGGCAGGTTGGTAGGGGGTTAGAAGGTCGCAGAGATAGGGTGAGCAAGTCCATGGAGGGTTTTGAAGGTGAGGACCAGGATCTTCAACTGTATCCTCTATGTGATGGAAGCCAGTGAAGTCGGGCGAAGATGGGGATGATAGGTTTGCGGAGTCTAGTGCGGGAGAGGACACGGGCTGCAGAGTTCTGGATGATCTGCAGCGTACGGAGGATGGAGTTGGGGAGTCTGACAAGCAAGGAGATTGTGTAGTTGAGCCTGGATGTTATGAATGCATGTATGAGGTTCTTGGCGGCCTGTGGTGTGAGACCGGGCAGAGCCGGGCGATGTTGCGGAGATGGGGGAAGGCAGAACAGGACATGGCACGCATGTGGGGTAGAAAAGATAGTTGAGTATTAACCAAGATACCAAGGTTCAGTGAGGTGGAGTGTGCATCCTTCTTTGGATGTTGCACAGTCCATCAAAATAAAGAACATAGACGAAGCTAAGCTGCGGCAAAACAACAAAATTACATTTTTAAAGTGCCGAGTCCTCCCACTGAGTCCTTCTGGGCGAGTATAGATAAAGATGAAATGTCTGTCTGTGTGTCAATCCACATTCCGTATTGGATCCTTTAGTGGCAAGTGAAGCTGCTGGCTGTGCTCCAACATGCCTGGTGACTTGTGCTGGGACAGTTTCATAGAGAAAGGCAGGCCACTGGTATCTTGCTCCAGTGATCATTCTTCATGTGCATGTCTAGATAATGAGTGTCAGCAGCTGTTCCACCATACAGGGCACATTAACAGAGCCCAACACTGTTCTCCTTCAGTATCTGTTCTTCCCAGTAGAGGTCATTTGATAGCTAACAGGAATAGGAAGCCTCGCTAATTAGTTTTCTCTCCTGAGCAGTAAGAAGAAGCAGTAAGGCCAATTTTAGCTCCCAGCCCCAATCTCAACTAAGATCAGCTACAGCCAATGGAGTGAATAGCCAATTTCATTCGAGGATTGTTGGCCAGGACACAAGCAGAAATACTATTCTCTTTTTGAATGATGTCACAGACTGTGAATTGAACCTGCGACCATCTGATCTGCACAGTTTAGAGTTACACTAGGTGAGGGGCAGATTATATCCAATGGGCTATCATGGAAATGCTTAGACTCTCTTTACAATAATAAACTCGAAGTACCAGCTAGATGACAATTGGTGGCTAAAAGAAATGTGTACCCGAGTTTCAGGCATTTTTGTTTCAGCTCATAGCTCCAGCCCAAAAGGGGAGTCCTAAAATTAGGTGACATATTTTAAAAGGCAAAAATGACACCAGGCTTAATTTCATAATTTCACACCAAAAAAACAATGTCTCAAAGACTTAATAATTTTGATTGGGTGCACTCAGCATGTAGAAAGAAGAGTTAAGGATGTTGATCAAAATCACAAATAGAAAGAAACTGGTTTGAAAGTGGAGACAGAAAGAGAGAGGATTAGAAGCAAAGTTTTAGTGGGCATAGTGACTGGTAGTATGGAGGGGGTGAGAATGAGAAATTAATCATAATTGGATAAACTGAGGGTATGGATGGGAGTGTAAGGTTCGGGGATATTGCATAAATCGAGGGGGAATTATCTAGACTGTGAAGGATTTAAAGGTCAGGCCAAACAAGAGTACAACTTAATCACACTTTGGATTCATAAACCCTGTAAATAACTAAATATTTTGCTCTATTATTGGTATGCTAAGATAGCCAGATTTGAAATCTAGAAAGAGGAACACATATACAAACAACCAAGGCCAGCCTGCTCTGTAAACATTCTGGGCTATAAAACCATTTTATTCCTCTGGGGAAGTTTCTGCTACAAGCAGTGGCATTGTCCTTTCATTATATACAACTATATACTTACCTTGCCAGATAATTTAGCACAACAATTACAAACATAGGAAGAGGAGTAGGCCATTCACCCCATCCAGCCTGTAATGCCATTTTCTTAGATGGTGATTGATCTGTAACTCAATGCTATTTGTCTCCTTACCCCACTAATCCTTTCAGTAATTCACTCACTCCAGGTTGTAATCTCCATCAACATGCTTTACATTTTAATCACACATTTGCAACCGCAAAGTAGTTTTATCAGGCTATTGGGGCAGACACTTTTATGCTTAACATTTTATCCAACAAATGCACCAGAAAGGTAATACAACCCTCCTTCTAAACCTACCTTTATACCTTTATATATATATATGTATACCTTTCAAAAGTACCACACATTCTCTAATAACCCACAAAATACATTTCTGTACCTGGCTTGCTCTTCAGACAGAGGAGTCCTGTATTTGTCAAAACATTAATAATTTACTCACCTCATCATAATAAAACCTGACATCTGCCCTTTTAGACCTCAAGTCCCACAACACAACTGTTCCACTTTCAAATCCCATGAGGAGCTGAAAAAGAAAATTGGAAAATTTAGTCAACTCATGAGACATACATTTGGTTGAAGCCTACTTCAAAAATCACAGTAAATCACATTTTCCAGAATATATTTGTACAGTAACCATAACATTTATGTGGACCAATATGATTAGGCATATGCAAATATATAATCTTAAACTTCCACACAATGAGAAAAAATACATGGGAATATAAAATGCAATATTTACATATATTATTTAGATGTAAGAACAATGTAAAGATGACATACATTTTTAAATGCACCCTCTATCCACTATTCATTAGCTGAAGTACCTGGCTTGCTCTTTTGACAGAGGTCAACAAAAGCTCCAAAGTGATTAAAGTTATAGATCCTTCAATAGAAAGTAGCAATCTGAACTAATGTACAACAACAACAAAATTACATTTATAGAGCGCTGTTCACATCGGGAGGATGTCCCAAAGCGCTGAACAGTCAGGTGTCGGGGCCCGAACATGGGGTAGGGGTAGTGTAGGGGTGAGGGAAGGCAGAGAGGTGGGAGGCAGACCAAAGACACGGTCAAAGAGAAGGGTCTTGAGACCGGCCTTGAAGGAGGCAAGGGAGGAAGCGAGGCAAAGGGACCATGGGATGGAGTTCTAGAGTGTGGGGGCAGAGAGGCTGAAAGCCCGGCCACCGATGGTAGGGTGGGACGGGCGGGGGACATGGAGCAGGTCAGAGCCTGCTGAACGGAGGGAGCGGGTGGGTTGGTAGGGAGTCAGCAGGTCAGAGAGGTAGGAGGGGGCAAGGCCATACATGGCCTTAAAGGTGAGGACGAGGATCTTGAACTCGATCCTCTGGGGGATGGGGAGCCAATGGAGTCGGGCGAGGGTGGGAGTGATGGGGTCGAGGAGTCTGGTGTGTGAGAGTACACGAGCTGCAGAGTTTTGGATGATCTGCAGCTTGTGAAGGGAAGAGTTGGGAAGGCCGATGAGGAGGGAGTTCCCGTAATCGAGCCTTGATGTGACGAATGCGTGGGTGAGGGTTTCAGCAGCCTGAGGGGTGAGGCAGTGGTGGAGTCTGGCAATGTTGTGGAGGAGGTGGTAAGCAGTGCCGGTCATGGCACGGATGTGGGAAAGAAAGGACAGTTCAGGGTCAAACAAGATACCCAGGTGCCTGACTGGCTTGGTGAGGTTGAGTGTGCAGCCATGGAGGCTGATGCTGCCAGCTCCTGAGGTGCGGAGGCGCTGGTGCGAGCCAATCAGGAGGGCCTCCGTCTTGCTGATGTTGAGTTGGAGAATGTTGGTCCTCGTCCAGGACTTGATGTCGGACAGGCAGTCGGTCAGGAAGCCAGTAGTCCTGGAGTTCAGGGTGGAGGCAGAGTTGGGTGTCATCCAATTCCAAATTTCATGTGGAAATTTACCCCATGTCTGTGGATGATGTCACCAAGGGTGAGCATGTAGAGGGTGAAGAGGAGGGGACCAAGGACAGAGCCCTGAGGAACACCGCACAAGTGCGGGGGCTGGAAGAGAAGTCTTTTGCCACGACGAAGTGGAGACGGTGTGAAAGGTAGGACCTGAACCCAGAATGTACGCAGAATTCCTAATGTATGAAGGGTGAGCATACAGTTGATATGAATTTACCCATCTTTCCAGTACTTAGCCTCATGACAATTATTCAAGTATGAACATTGGTAGTAATCATTGACAGACTATTCAACTGCATGTAGTGTTTCAGCTGAGCCCAATACTGTCCTTACTCTAGAGATCAGCTAGCAACACAATCTGGGAACCGAGCCCGGGACCCACCAGTCAGCATGGCTCTGCTACGCTTCAGTAAACGCGCTGAACATTTGGGAAAACAGCAGGTTGTGAAGTTTCCAATACACAAAATCCATCATATTGTTTTGTCTCTGACACCAGAGATTCAACTTGAGGTTCAGAATCCCAGTAAGAAAACTGATTTATAATAAAATTGTCAAAGAAAATTCTCTGGAGTCTATTAGTACACTCTAAAATGATTAGGAATTTGAAGCAAACACACTCTTCTAGACATTCCTGCTTTNAAAAAAAAGTTACTAAAGCCAATTTGGTGTGACAAAGCATACATTATAACAAAAACTACAAAACATTAATAATTAAAAGGCTAATGGAAATATCAATTGTGATATTCATCATATCTGGAAAAAAAAATCAATAACTCTGCAGGATTCCAGAAACAGACCTAAATTTATAAACATGAAAATGTTTTTATTCTCGTTGTTAATGTTATACTGCACGCGTCATTAATTTTCATCTGCATTTTATCTTCCATGCTTGCAAAGTTTTAATATTGAAACAATTTCCAAGCATTAAACATTCATTAACACACCACCTGCTTGTGTTACATTAATAAGACCTCCAACTGAAAGCTTTCCTGTTCTGTTCCGTTTTGTTCTGAAAACACAAACATCACGTAGATCAGAACCAACCCCTATTAAACAAAGGCCTTCTTGTCATTTGTTGCTTGGCTGCCAGCCAAGAAGGATCATATCGGATCATATCGTGCAGTAACAAAAAATAATTCCATTAAAGCCAACCCTACAATACTGTAATAATTTTCTAACAGACAATCTTTCCCCATCATTCTCCACAATCACATATAAAGGTGATGTTTTAACTTCTCTAAATTGTGGGGAAAGCAATCTTAAAACTAATATAAAGGAGGACAATGCCCCCCTTACTGACCCAGACTATGGACAGTATACTAGGAACACCAGCCCTGTACAACTTCCTCTTATGACACCAACAGCAAAATACTAGAAACAGGGTGTTCTGCTGCAAATTTGTTGCAGAAAGGAGAAAGGAGACATTTATGCTTGCTACTAAATTGGAAATAACATTTTATTTGAATTTATTTTGGAGTATTTTTCAATGCTTATTGGATTGCAATACCTAGAGTAAAGATAGGCTCATCACTTCACTTCATGGCTGTTTGTGGGATATTATTGTGCACAAATTGGCTGTTGCATTCCCTAAACGATAAGATTACACTTTAGCTTAAATCCTGTGAGGGGCTTTGAGATGTCCTGCCGACTTTAAAGTCAAATCCAAGAATTACTGTCATTGTTACAAGAGTTGCATGCGAGACCCGGGTTCTATTCCCGGCAGGGCAAAATGTTGGGTAAGTTTCCTTACTCCACACACCTCTGTTTACCTAGCAGTAAGTAGTTGTTAGTTGATTGTCAGATTGTTAACTGTGGGTAATAAAACCTCAAAAAGGAAAAAAACACTGCTGTGCGCAATTAGCTGTTGCGTTTCACCCACAAAATATACAGTCAATTTACCTTATAATATATTCTGTGAAGCGCTTTGCGACGCATCAACGACGTGATATGACACTATATCAAATGCAAAGATTATTATTGTTACTCTCCATCTATTGAATGATGATTTTCTTCATATTCTTTTAGATGATTCATAACAGTAGGGAAATTCCTCAAACATTGGTAAGAATTTGCTGAGCATTAAACAACAGAAAATCTATAAACTTAGGGAGAAATTGCACTTTGGCTTAAGTTTATTTTATCTGTGTAACATTTCAAGTAAATCTAGACCTGGGTGGAATTTCTCCCCAGTAACCTCACATTAAAAGAGATGGCAATCTGACTCCCTCAAACACATAAACTTTCTGGAAGAAATTCATGTCTTGAAAAATAATGTATAATTTTTACAATAATATCATAATAAAATATATATATTTTTATAATGTATATTCTATCACCCTGTTCGCTCCATCCGCTCAGTGGGCTCCAGCCTGCTTCACGTCCCGTGCCTTACTCACCCCACTATTGGCGGGCGGGCCTTCCGCCACTCTGCACCCACCATCTGGAACTCCATCCTGTAGTCCCTTCATCTCATCCCTTCCCTCGCCACCTTCAAGACCCACCTCAAGTCCCTCCTCGTCGACCGTGCTTTCGATCTCCTTGCTACCCCCTCCCCCACCCCGACCCTCAGCTCGGGTCCGTAACTCTGTCTGCCCAGCGCCTTGGAACGTCCTCCTGACCTGAAAGGCGCTATACAATGTAATTTTGTTGTTGTATGCAGCATTCCTATCAAATAATAATTCTTATATTTGATACAGCACCTTATCACATCTTCGAGACGTCTCCATGCGCTTCACAGAATATTCTGTAAAATTAATTGACTGTATATTTTGTGGGTGAAACGTGGCAGCCAATTGTGCACAGCAGTGTCCCACAAACACTCATGGATTGAGCGACGCAATTATTATTTTTTTTGAAGGAATTATTTCCCCCGGTATAGCAACCTGTCAATCGACTGACAACCGTGTTCCTTACTGCTAGGTAAACAGAGGTGGAGTAAGGAAATTTGCCCATCGTTTCGCCCTGCCGGGAATCAAAGCTAAGTCTCTCGCTTGCGAGGCGAGTGCTCTAACCACTGAGATACAGGACTCCACAGAAACGTAAACAGAAATAGAAACATTGAAATGACAATAAATGGGATTAGAGTGGTATTTGCTCTTGTTGTTTTAAATATGCAGCAAATGGATTCTGTTTCATTCTGCTAACTAATGAATCCCCTTATCTAAGAAAACTACACACACAGCTTTCCAGCCTCGATCAATGTGTACAAATGTGTTAGGAGTGCTATTTTGGACAACAGCACTCTTATCATAATCTTAAATTGACAATGGAAATGGTCACATTACATGAACATGTGTCTGTAAATTTAGTAACAAAACAAAAGAATAAAACATTTTTTTTAACCAAACAATTTGTATGCACAGAATGCATTACAAAGGTAAAGCAATTCCACAGATTACAAAGAACACACCAGGAACTGTCCTGAGATATTTAAATTCAAATCCTGTTTTTTTTTGTAATGCAAGATAAAGAGCACAGTTAACATGTTTTGGTGGGAGATTGCATTATTAGAATTCTTTAAGGGGACAATACCATCAGGAATTGCAAGCCTCAAATTCTAACACATAACATAAGAAGAAACGAATATTCAGGCTTCAGTAAAATAAGATAAA